TTATTATTCTTATGTATGCATATAACAATATATATATGTATGTATATACAGTTATACACATATTGAAAGAATAGTAAAAAAAAACAGTTGATTCGGTGCTTAACATTGTTTAACCACACATGTATACATATGGGTGTTCCATCATATTTCCATTTGGTATTCGAACCTGGCAATGGAGAATCTCGATTTTCAAAAGGCGAATCATCTACCATTACCAATGGGTTATCCACTGCCATGTTCATGTTTGATGACAAAGAACTACTGGCGGTTGGTATTGGGGGGGGAGACAAACAGCCAGGAACTATGGTGAATTGAGCACTGAGCATTACCTTGGCATTGGCGTCCAAGAAAGCCAATGGAAATAGTTGAATAGATTTAAGTCGTCCTATTCCAATACCATTTTGGGCGGAGGTCAAAAAGTGCTCAATAGTTTTCAGGGATATGCTTTCAGGAACCGGCATTTGACACATCCCGTGAAGATGTGCATCGCAGTCAGTGAATGTAAGCAGTTTCAATAATGATATTGTACCATATTACACCCCAGTGATGGAATATCACCAGTTATGACCATAGGTTAAGATACAGCCCCTCTAAGCCCCAAAGCATGCCCAAACTGGGATGCCTTGCGTAGCAGATTTCCCATTGGTTCATGGGAGCAACCCCCTTGGGGAAAAACAAAAATGACCACTTGTGGTTCCACAACTTCGGGGACCTGGAACAGAGCCAGTTAAATCATATCAGTTGAGTCGAATTCTGCTGGCCTTCCAATTCCAAGGCCAACCATTGCCAGTCACCTCATGTCCATTTTCCAGATTTGTGAGACTACGAAGCCGGATGTTCAAATATACATGATCAATCATGATCAACGATAAAATTTGGTTCTTTGGATGGGGCTGTTTGCAGGACACCTCTGAATTTCCATGGCAAAAGGTATATGTTTTTTGGTCGATTTTTCCCGCCCAAACCCAACCGGAGGTTTTTGTCGGTTCTAAGGCTTTGGGACTATCTGCGTCGCTCAGGGCAGCGTGGATACTTCCTGCCTTTGTCCGGTGGAGCGGATTCCTCTTCGACTGCGGCGCCCCTTGACTTGATGCACGAAGTTTGTTGGATTGCAACTGCTGCAAAAGGACTGCAAAAAAAATGGGGATTTCGTGGGATAATGGGGATATAGTGAGATTATAATGGCATGAACCATGGAAACATTGGGATTTATCGAAACATAGAAATGATGTCTGGATTCGCAGTATGGGATCAATGACCATACACCAGAATTGTCTTATTGCTCTAGCTGACCATAATGGTGATGTTAACAGAGGGCACCAAACTCAACTATGCCAAGCGTTTTACTCAGTTAACACTCTTCAATTCACTAAAATTTCAAAATGGTTCGTTTCTTGTGGCGAGGGTGCTGCTGCCAACCCCACATTGCGGTCAAGGCCATGTCATGCTTGCCCCAATGCTGCTCAGTACTTGGATGTGCATCCCAGTAATCAAAGCCATATCAAAGCCACATATACCTGGGAATAATCCATGTCATGATTATAACCGGGGTAACATGGTTATTACCCTCTTACTTTCTGGGATGCACCCCCAAGTATCCTTCAACCCCAACAGACTGACTGTCATGTTGAGTGACTAAGCCTGGTGTTGAGGCTGGTGGGCATCATGTGGCAGCCTCAATGGGACCTTTCCTGGGTGGCACGGCAAGGGTTGCATTCGCCACGCTTGGATGATCCCATACCCGGATAAGGGTTGAATTAGTGTGGTCTTCCAATGTCTTCCATTGTGCATGCGCCTACTGTATGATCTTTTTGTTGACACCGTATCCGCATGTATCCGCGCATTTGGACTATGTTCCCCCTCATGACGCCATGGTCCGTTCTGCGAGGTGCCAACGTGTTTTCAAGGAACTCACCGAAGGGACTGAGAGGTGGGATTTTTTCAGTGCAAGATTGCAAGACATCAAAGGGAAGGCTGTGGGCTACAACATCTATGTATTTTAAGGTAAGTAGACTTGGTTGGGTTGGTTGATTTGATCCTCATTCCCGATGCATCCAAGGTACAGTGGGATCCAGGGATTAAACCTTGCCACTCCGGCAACCCGGCAACCCGGCTGCCGGCAAACCAGGTCTAAAGCTGCAACCCTGGCAGACATTCGAAAGGTCACCAAAAGGCCATTCTACACACCACCGTCATGGCAGGCGGGGCTAGATGCCGCTGAAACCTGGACAGTCCTAAGGGTAAAAATGTGTTTGCCTTGTCCCAAAACTGGCAGAAGTAGTGAGTAATTGTTCAAATCCAACAGCTCCAGATACTTCTCACAGCTATCCCAGAGGTACTAAGAAGTGCTGAGACTATATTTGGGGATAGCTTTTGGGGTCCAAACGCCCGCACAGTCCAGCCATTTGTTCACCTGAGTGGGCTGCACCCGAGAGTCGATGATTCAATAGGATGCCTTTCAGCTTTGTAACGGAAGATCATAGGACCTCCAGATGGTTTTCCAGGTAGAACCAAGAGGGTACAAGGTTTTTCAGGGGCCAGAACATCTCAGAACGTGTCCAGATTAGCTGTTAGATCCTTCATGTCCAAGAACCCAACCGTTTTTATTATTGGCACCATATTGCACCTTTGTTCTGAAATGACAACGGGCCTTTGTTTATTATTCATAAATCATTGCACGGCTGAAACAGGATTTCTGTGGCAAGATTTTCGTGACCTGCTACATGGCTTCTGACGCTTTGGCGGGTTGCACAGTTGCACGGCTGGGACACATTTGCATCATGAGCCGGTAATTGGCAATATGGCTATGGATATCTATGGATCAAACTGAATCAAACATGATCAAAACCTATATATATATAATTATATATGATACCATATTTTTTGATGATCCATGTAACCTATATGATAGTTGATCATTTACCTTAACTATTTTGATGATCACCGGGGCACCAGGGTTTCTATCTCCATGCAGATGCCTCACCATGAGTTCTGGATCTAACACCAAAAGAATCCGGTCGTCATTGGTGGTACATATTGTTTTTGTTTGGCGGGAAGTCCTGATTTCTGATGGGAAACGGTGTTCCAATGGTCTTAAAGACACCATTCGGTACTTATTATACAGTCTCAGCAACATTCAAAACTTGAATAAGAACAACTTGTTGGTCGCCAGTGAGTTCTAGATATTTATCTTTTGAGGGGAAGACAGGTTTGGAAGAAACACCAAAATCGATGTCTCCCAAACAAGTTCAAACATGTTGACTAGGGGTCTCAGAAAAAGCACGGCAAGTCAAGTTTAAGAATGGAGTGGAATAAACAACATTCACTCATTGAGAGATATCGAGGTTTCCAAACATGGAGCTACCCCCAAATCATCCAAGTCATTAGATCATTTTAGCATTGAAACCCATGGTGACTTGGGATGGTTTGGGGATCCTCCGATCTTCAGGAGCACAGTGGCTCAGAGACCCGTTCGCGTGCCGAAAACTTGGCCAAGCAGCTGGGGGCCAACCATACCTCCATCGAACCTTGGTGCAGAACTTTCTCATGTGTGGGGTTTGAACATGGTGCAAACCTCCCAATGGCCATTAAGATATAGTAAGAAACAATGATGAGAAACGATGGACCATGAGATTTTCATATGTTGATATCTTTGTAATGACCTTATTTTCAAACAAATCCATTTTTGCAGAGTCAAAAACCCATAACTTTCCGGCAGATGTTGCTTTGTTTTGTGGTGACCTTGGCGTCGGTAGTCGCCTGGGGGGCACCTGGGAGAGGCAATTCGACCCATCACCGATGCCATCGTCAAAGTCTTTCAGCAGTGCTGGGGGCGCTCAGAGCGGCGATTATATACGTGGTGGGTTGGTTCAAAAATGTGGGGGTACCCCTAAACTGGATCCTTTAGGGAACCGGGGCAATCTGATATCTTTAGGGATCCTATATAGGCTTGGGGTTGAACATGGACCCAGAAAATGGCTTTATTTGGATGGGGAAATGATGACTATTGTATTTAAGACCAACCCAAGGGAGTTTGTTTGAACTGTTTCATGTTTTTGTTTGGAGGGAACCTGCAATCATCAATAAATCTCTCAGTAAGTGGGCTTCCCTACCGACTTAGAGCGGGGCCGCATGGTTTTGTTCCGCCTTTGGGCCCCATGGACACCCCAGAGGTGTCAAAAATCCCTCCCAATTGAGCTCATTTTGGGAAGCCATATGGTGGATTTATCTGGATTTAAGATGTGATCACCGGAAGGGATTAAGTATGATTAAGTTACATACATACCCTTTGATACTAACCCATTGCATCCCCATTGCTGGTTGGTAAATGGGCATCATATCACCATATTGGTTAAGTCCCATCCAAATAAGAATTGTCAGATGAGAAGTTGATCACCAGAGTTAAACTCCATTGAGTCCCATTATATCCTGGTTGGTGGTTTGGAACGTGTTTTATGACTTTCCATATGTTGGGAATTTCATAATCCCAACTGACGAACTCCATCATTTTGCAGAGGGGTAGGTCAACCACCAACCAGATATTCTTAACCATCATTAATCATCATTATCCATCATTAAATCATCATTAACCATCATTAAATCACCATTAAACACCATTAAACATCATTAAATCACCAACCAGATTGCTCAAGATGATCCCGGCTGACACTTTTATTTCCCCCTTCGAAGGTCACTTCGAAGGCACTAAGATCGAGAAGTCGAAGGCACAGCCCGTGACGAAAAAAAATTGCTGACTCTGGATAGTAATGGCAAGGGACATTAGTTGTGATCTCATTAGTGTAATGGAGAATTTGGATATTAACTATATATAAGGGAATGATCAATGGATACTAATCAATCAATGGAGAACATGACCATTTTATGGTCAGGGACTTGAGATGCGTTTTCACGTGCATCTTTCTGTGGAGACCGGTGAAAAAAGAGCTGATGTTTCCCATCAGTTGACCCTATACCCCCAGCCACCTGTCTCCAGGTCAAATCAGACTGTGCAACTGGGTTTGAAGTATGCCTGGGTACTGCGAAACCTCAGTGCCGTGTTTTTTTTTCAACATGGTTTGTTGCCCATACAACCAGACCTATCTTTGTTGCCCAAATGAAAGGGCCTGATCGCAGCCACAACCATTGCCAGAAAGTCAGATTCGGGACTTTTTTGGGACACGTGGGGTTCGCATCTCCAAAATTCTGTATTTATTACCAACTTTATAGACAATATTATTCGAAAAATTAAGTATTTTCCAGATATTGATATGTACCATATATATATATTTGATACAGATACATCCACACACACACATATATATATATAAATAAATATCAGATTGTTCCAGAACAGTTCCAGCTCTCTCTTTAAGTCTTTCCACCTGCCGTCCGGTTCCTCGGGCCCCGCTGCCCCAGGTCTGGAACGCCAGTGGCACCGAAGACATCGCCCTGCAGAATATCCAGGCGAGAAGTCGAGCCTCGGCGTGGGAAGCCGGCTGCCCCTGGTTGGAGCTGGTCGGTGGTTTCCCAAAAAACATGTTGCAATCATAGAACTGGGACTACTGTAGATAGATAGGATATAGATAGGATATGATAGGATGATGGTTCCAACTTTATTTTTTCTTGGGGCGCAGAACCACCAAGCAGTAGTTTTGGAATGTTTTGGAGGCAGGAAAGGCGGAAACACTGACACTGGATGTGCGTCCTGATTATTAATATGGCTCCATAAAGTTAGTCGTGATGTCATGATATGAATTTGGGGGATGAAGACTGTGCCCGAATAGGCTCATTTTTTAAATAAATACACACAAAGCTGGGTTTCCAATTCGGAATATTGTGGGGTAAGTTTTGAATCTGGCTCACACTATCTATTACCTGTAATTACCTAACTTTGGATGGCTTTAAGTGCTCAACATCACCACTGTGTGGTCCCAATGTTGTGCCTCATGTTTTGAGCTATGCCCAAAAACATCACCGCTGTCATGTGTCAAAGATGGGACCCTTCTATCACCAGCACCAAGGCATGGTCATGGCCTATTTCATGGCGCAACTGATGCCATGGGCTACTGACCAGGTAAGGTCACCCAGACTGATGCGATGTACGCTGCCAATCTAAACCATTATTTGGGCCCTCTATTCACTAGTTCTCCCCTCCAAACAAGCATTGCAAATGATCTAAAAAAAGATGGATTGACCAATTCAATTATATGTTTCAATGCTGAGTTCGACACCCGTCTTTCCGGAATCGGCAGGAAAATCTACAGGAAAGCCATGTATTTGCTGAATCCACTGTTCTCGTACTCTACCAAATTGATACCCTCCGGCAACATAGGTATGTACTATGTAGATTGTAGATTAACTATTTTTCCTGTTAAACATTTGTTGTATAGCTGTGTTGTTATGTTAGATAGCCAGAGGGTATTGACCAATGCTAATCTACGGGGGCATACCCTCCCGTAAACGTTTATATACATAGAATCCACTATATAATTATGTTTAGATCATTTTGCTAAGGAAAACCATGGTTTTTCTACATGCGTTCCCCATATTTTTCCGTATTTTCCCATTTTTTTTTTCCCATTAAACCCTCCATTTGTCTGTGTTAACCCCCGGGGAGTCCCGGAAATTTTCAGACCATCCTCGGTCAGGCCATGCAGGGCGACGCCGGGCCGGGATGGGGCTCTCTTCTGGTTCTAGGCGCGATTTTACGGAGCTGTCCATGTGGCAGTGGAGAGTCCATGAGGATAAGTTCATGTCGGTGCTAAGAAAACATATGTTTTACAAAAAAAAAATGACCAATCCATGGACTTAACCCATTGGGAAAGCCATTCCGAACATGATTTACATTCGATTCATGGTCGGTCTTTTCAGATCTATATTTCTCCGTTTACAGGAGGGTATCATGTAGATTTGGATGGGTGAATGTGGTGCAAAAAGGTTAACCAACATATCATGTAACGGGGTAGAACTATTAGGTCATGGTGTTACATATTCATGGGATTGCTGGTCAAGGCTTTGGTTTGCAGTAATTACACAAGATTCGTTTTGGGCGAGAATTGGACTTCTCAGCCAAAGGATAAAAAACTATAATCATCTTTGAAAATGGGTCCACAAGGTTAGTTTCAATAAGGCTGGAAGAGGTACAAAAAACCCAGTGCAAAGTGGAATCATGAAACAAAGGGATTAGAGGTTTTGAATGTTTCTCACAGTGCTTCACATGTCAGATTTCATGGTCAGAAGACCCTCCAGGATGCCAAAGGCTCAATCGTTGGGAAATCGCACTTGGATTTCCCTGCTCGTAGGTGGTTTCAAAGCATGTGTTTTCTATATTTAATTTGTTATTACCCAGAAGCTGTCAATCCATTTCAAACAGGAGAACTGTGTTCCTCCTTTCTGGTCGGAGGTGTGATGTCAAATCAAAATCAATGCAAACCAAAATCAAGGCAGAGAATATCGAGGAGTCTATATACAACTGATTTCACCTTCTGAACATGCAGTATATATCAGTATGTCACTAGCTCTTATAAGGAGCTTCGCGGAACACTACTAACAGCAAAAACGGTGAGTCACTACATCGAAGCTACCTCCCATTGTCCCCATCGGGATGAATAGCTTCAGTACTGGTCGATCCCTCCAGGCTCGGCCAATGTGGATGAAGCCTTACGTGGCTACTACACGAAGTATGACTGCAGCGCTGCAGATGTGAACCCCATTGGTGGTGCCTCAGGGAAAACCACGTCCTGGGATGACCGACGGACGGGTGGTGAAAAACCAGGGCTAGGCAGACCATGGAATACTGGGATGATCTGCCAAGATGTCCCACTGAAAAAGTGTACTTATATATGATGTATATGACGTATATGATGTATATTTATTATTTATATTGATTGTTGTTATTATCATTATTGTTGTTATTATGGTTATTATTTTAACTCTCTCTCTCTATATATGATGTATGTGTGATGTGCCTAGCCGATTGGTCCACATTGTTACAATCCATGCATATCCATGCGAAATTAGCATCTTTAAGAGCAGGAGCAATCCCATCAAAGGTGACGCAAACTGGCATGACCATGATGACCAGAGGTTCCTGGTGGGCTTTGTGGTTGGAACCCAGGAGAAACCTTAGCATGATCATCCTTGTCATGAAAGAAACAGCCAATAGTGAAGTGTCCAACCACAATTTACAGATATTTACTAAATATTTACAGTAGCATCTTTCAACTACAGATGATGTGTTGATTTGCATTTATTGTCTGGAAATGATCAACAAATGGTGAAATGTGCCCTTCAATCACATGGTCAGAAGCCGCAGTCAGCGTTCCCCTAGAGGCATTTGTGTCACTGCAGCATGCAAGGCAGCGTGTTTCTTGCTTGCTCCAGCCGAGGTATCAACAAAAGAGACTTGAAGGCGTTCTTAATATGGGCGGCCAAAGAAAGAGGTATTGGTCACTTTGGCTGCTGGAGAACGCGCTCTGGATTGGAGGAATGATTTTGTGCACGGTCAGAACGTGTTGGTGTGCCATAGTTGGATCCCGCTAGAGGTAAACCTCCACGGTTAGCTGCGCTCCATCAACTTGTCAGCTGTTCAATATTTATGTGGTTGGCACATGGGCAATATATGCGGACATGCTTCAGGCAGTTATACCAATTTTATTACTCACAGGTAAATCATGACTTGCAACATTGTGTAATGTTCCTGAACCAACCTTTGGCATTCTTGTTTGGATCCCTGCTTCGAAACCATCTCAGCGGGGAAGTTGCGAATGACTTGATGATTACTGCTAGTTAATTTCCATAACATTCCATAACAGGGTCCCTTCACCGGCTGTGATGTTGATGGTGTAACTTTAACATATACAGCTGATTGTAAACCAGTTGTTTGGTTTCTGGGGTACTCGCATGCGACTTGTTGAAAAGGCGCTTCTGTGGATCTCCAAAATCATTGGGGTTCCACAGAACCGTGATGTCGAACACTCGAACTATGGAATAGCTAGCAACACCCCAGACGCAAATCGAATTTGACAAGAACTATCCAAGAACTGAAGCATTTCATGGCCATCTAGGTGAACTGGAACGGGTGGCCAACGCAGTCCCCACCGCAGAGCTGCGACCAGATAAGGTGCAATGAAGCGTTTTTCATCGGGATCATGATTTGTTTGTACCTTTTTGGGCATGACTATCAGTTCAACCTTTCTCCAGAAGTGGGTCATACCAAAGTTGAAAGGTTGGTTTCTTCTACCCTCTGGTACATAAACATAGACCCTGAAAATCAATGAAGATCACCAATTTTTAATGGAAACTAGTCTTCCAACCCCTATCTGCCAGGGTCTATGTTAATTTACCAGAGGGTATAATTTATGTGTTTTGGCTCACTGCCAAGGACTCGAGTGATACATCATTGAATCATGACGTTGGGCCCTGTATCGTCCAGAGATATAACTGAAGGTTTTATACAAGGGGCGGGGGATGTTCAACAATAGATTCCCTCCACATAAACCTATGCAGATACCAGTCTTCTAGATGTGGTTCAAGGAACAAATCTAAACTGGAACCCGCCATGATTGAATGCAACAAGCCAAGGTTTCCCGTAGATTTTCCATAGTTCTGTAAAAAATCGGGGGGTGATTACATGGTCTCCCGCAGCTTCTGAAATCAGAGACCATGTGATGCAGCATGAAGTCATGAAAACTCCAATTGCCTTATACAAAGGGTGGCAGAGTCGACTGTGCCGCAATTTCAGTAATGTCCTGCATGGTTGATGTGGGCACACATGCGCCCGTTGGCAATCTAACAGGTCAATGGCACAAGAAACATCATTCGATGGATGAGATTCCTCCTTTGAAGATGGATGAACTTGGAGATTTCAATTGCTGGAGGGCACATCCAATCAGACTTGCCCATAGCTTTTCAAGCCAGTGCAAGTTTGAAGCACTGACCCAGTGTGAATCCAAAGAGTGGGCTCTAAACATCGCGGCAGATCATTCATTTTCAAACTAGAGAATCAGCGACATCTTTGGGTCCCAACGCATTCTGAGGCTACATTCTGTTTCTATTCCTACGTGCCCATTAGTGCTCCAGTCAGATTGCTCCTAAAACAACCCTTTGGTTGTTCAGAAGCAACCCATTGGCCGCATAATGGTGCAGATATACATATAGATATATATATACACATCCATTGCAAACCGTTCCGTGGGAATTTGTCTTCATCCCACATATATGACTTTATCACCTCGAAGTTTACAGGTTAACCTTCACATATCTTCACATCCATCCAGACCGCCACAGCATGGCCGCCATGGCCGTTGCCTGCGCCACGCCCAGCGCGGCGCCATGGCGCAATCTTCTGGCCGCGTGGGTCGCATGGGGCAGCCTCTGGGCCGCCAGCTTCTGTGGTTTGGAACTCCGCTGTCAACGGAGTCCGCGGATGGGCTGCAGGATCGCTGAAGGCAACGTTGGTGGCAGTTGAAGAAGGTGAACTTTGACTTGGGTATGGATCAATACCTATTAATACCATTTTTAATGGGATGAACATCCATTTACCAGCTATTTTGGGGTTCACTAGGTACCAGGGTTTTGACCCATCCCCACTTGTCCTTTGATTTTATAAATGGGCCTCTTTGTTGTATCTGAATTTGCCCCAGAGTTGGGGTGATTTCTGAAAGTTTGCTGAGCCAAAACTCAGGCAGTTTCGGGAATCAACGTGAACCGACTCTCAATTTGAATGCCAGCAGAGGGCAGAATCATCAAGACATAGATCTTGAACAAAGTGGCGTACCCCCCAGCTCTGAGTGGTTTCTATACTTACAATCCCATCAAATTCAAGTATACGTGCATAAGAAGTGTAGATAGAGATAGATATATAGACATATAGAGATAGTACGATAGAGATATTTTTTCCATTTATATAACAATTTCATCCACTAACCTTTTTTAAATTTGAATGGATCATAATGGATCCAGTTTTACAACCTTGTCAACAAACTGGGCCACCACTTGGCACTGGATTTGTTCAGTGCAGGCGAGCTTTCGACCGAAGAGAGCGAGGATCTGCTTGTGGCTTTGGGCCGAAATCTTTGGGCTGCAGCAGATGTACCTTGCGCTGAGCAAATGGTTTGAACATATGTCTGGGTGAATTCTCACGACCTCACTGTCTTCCCTCACTGGAATCATGGTTAATAAGGGAAATCATCCCCAAACGGGCAGAAATCAAAATATTACAATATACCCAGATATGTGGACAATTTCACCCAGAAAAAATGACGATGAACATTTGAGCATATTTAAGGGGTCTAGAAAGGAACAGCATGAAGTATCAATTATATGAACCAGCACGTGTTGTCAATTGGGAATCTGCATGTGTGGTGCTGGGCAGCTGGAAAACCAAGATTATTTCAGTTGTTTTTTTGAAATATTCTAGGTCAATCTTAGATGGATACTTTAATCCTTTAGTCTTTTGATATCAATGGGAATATCTACTAACCAGCAAAGAAATTATTTTTTGCAGGGTATCTAAGATTGGCAAATGTATTTAGCCAACCACGAATGAGATGATAACCAACAATCTTAGAGATTTTTGGTGGGTTTACCAATAAGAATGGGGATTGACTGACTACGACATTTACGGGGGATGTAGCCAATAGAAGCGGGCAAACCAACCGGTGATTGCTGGTTTTCTTGGTCCCCTCTTTATCCGTGAGCGATTTGGATCCTCCAACGTTTCAGTGCAGAAATTGAGCCTCCCACTTCCTACTGATGAACCATTCGTCCGATCGGCCTCAGCGCGACAACCTGACATCGACATTTTCCGTCTCCCGCACAATTATTTTCAACACTATACTAGGAAAGCCGTTCAAACGATCTGCTACCCCGTTAGCGAAGAGTCTGTTAGCGAACTGCTTTAAACGATCTACATAGAACCCACCAATGGATACACCACGTGTCTTGACTGGGCATTCAAAATAATCACTGGCATCAATCACCATTATATCATATTCTATCATATCTCATTGAATCATCAAACCGCCATAAAGTCACAATTAAATCACCATCATATTGCCTTTAAATCAAGCCTTTAATTACTATTCACTATGCAATCACCATGAAACCAGTATTGAATTATCATTGCATCACCATCCAGCCACCATCCAATCACCATCATTTTTGGATGAAATATATCAATGACATCATGACAAAAATCCGCCCCATCCCCGGAGGAACTGCTGGAAGTAAGCGCCCTCTTGGCCGCAGCTCCCCTCTCCGCCCTCGACGTGCGGAAGTTCTCCCCGCAGGGCCTAGGAGCTGCGGCGCTGGCCTTGCGAAATGCGGCAGATATGATGCTGGATGAGGATTGGGAGAGTGCCATGGGCGAACTGGAGGTTGGGGATTGTTGGACTTGGAGGATCATCATGGATCATCCATAAGTGGGCTGGGTGTTTGTGGGGTGCCACTTGCTAAGTGGGATGATCCCCCGATTTTTCGGGCTTCAAACGTGGATGAATTTTCAGCCATAGAAATTTGATAATTCAAATAGCTTTTAGGGGTTGGACATATATTTTGTGAGCTTCTGGGAATCATTTTAAAGATGGAAATCTTTGAAGTAAATGGAGCAATTGTCCATAGCTTACCAGTTTTTAAAGTTCGATTGAAGATTTGTTTTGGGTTGGTTCGGAGGGTGTGAGTTGTAGGGAGTTGGGTTGGCTCCTGAGGTTTTTTTTTGCAAATTTATGTGTAGCCTTTTCAGAAACATAAGCAATGCAACTAGCCATTAATGTTAACTCAGGGCTAATAGACCCTGAGTCTACTAACAGGCTGGGCAGTTTTGGTGAAACGTGGTGAAACTTGGAGCTGTTTTCTCATTCTTTGAATGAAAAAAAAAACCGAGCCACTGGGCGTTTAACGCCTCTTTGACACTCCTTTTGGTCATTTGCTAAGCTGCTAAGCAAGGGATATCCAGAGAACCGCAGGTTGAACCGCAGAGAACCAGGCAACCAGGCGCCATCCCCCTGCAGGTGGCTTCGGTTTCCAGCGAAGGTTTCTTGCCGCCCGCGTCCATGCAAGGCTTAATCGTTTCTCGCCTGAGTTTGGTGACCCGTTGTGGCCTCTATTTTTTCATCAACATCATCAACCCACCAGCCATGTGTGCGTCATTGTGTAACGTTTCACTTGTTGTTTGGTACAATCCGAAATGGGGTATGGGCATACCATGGCATATCCAATCATGAAGCCCACCGGGGATGGTGTTATTATATGTTTTTATGATTATCACCATAGTTTCCCATATGTTGCTATGAAAATATCATCACTGTACCGTAATTAATATAGTTCCCTTAATTATTGGTTTTCCCAGTTTTCCCTCATTAAATCACATCAAGCACCTCAGTAGATTTCCAGCGTCTGGCCCTGACGTTTTGAAGCCATTGATGACTTGTTCCAACTGATTGCTTGGTTGTTAGATGGGCCGCCTTCCATTTATCACAACCAGTAAAGGAATAAGCTTAAGGTGTGCAGGGTATGTGCTCTTTTGATCCGCATGTTGGATGCCAATTTGGGTAATTTTAGAGTTCAAACACGGGAAACATCCGTCCATTTTGAAGGTGCCCGTGATGTTAGTTGGTTTCTAGACATTATCAACCATAGTAGTTCATATATCCACATATATCCACCCCTGCTTGGTGGTTTGGAACATGTTTTATTTTTCCAGATATTGGGAAGAACAATCCCAACTGACTTTCATATTTTTCGGGGTAGGTCAACCACCAACCAGACACATATTTCCACCATAAACCAGAGAATTCACCGTGGTTAGTTCGAGGCGATCCATTGGTTCGTTCGTGCACAGCTACATAGCTCAGGACCTTTTTGCCTACGAGGAAGCCATGCCAAGTTGTGAGTGGCAAAGAGCTAAGTCTTCACTCAGCGCCTGGGATTTCAAAAAGCGAAATGGGGCGGCAGTTTTCACCATGAAACCATAGGAAAATCATAGGACAAATAGGAAAATCATCATGATTCGACATTTGTGTTGCGAAATCAAATAGGCAAATCAACGAAGGAAATGATCGGCCATAGTCAGATCGCAAAGTGTGAACTTACCAGAAAATTAAACATTAGGATCATTCATGGGATATGAATGGGGTTTATAATAACTAGAATTAAGCAATGGGGGTGTTTAACATTGGGGGGATGGGACTCTCATAAATCTCAGGCCGAGCATCGGCAGATGATCATACATTGGGCAGCATTTTGAACTGCATCACGATGTTCAATAGTGGATTTGTGGCCAGGCAAAGGGTAAACCTCTGTTGTCAACAACTTCTCCTTGAACACCCCCGTGAAACCTGGGTTTAGTACTGAATGATATGATTGGAATGGCTTACTTCAGGGTCATATGTAGGGGTGTTGTATCTATAGGTGTAGCAAACATATTTGTTGACATTGTTTTTAGGTATAGCATTATCAAATATCAATGTTTATCACCGCCAGTTATTTGAATGGTTCTTGCTGTCCTATATTGTATTCATCATGTTTTTCATGGTTGGTAGTTTCAAAGATGGTTATTTTCAAGAAATTGTCCACACCCATAGGATCCATGGTGCTGGTATATATGCTAACATGAATGGGGTATATTGATGGGATCCATGTTACCATATATGGCAGCACCATGGATCCGTCATGGGACACTATATGGGATGATGATCCTGACTTTCACGGAGAACTTTCGAGGTGGTGCCTGGTGGTGGCTAGCAGCCAGATCCAACCAGCATTGGCCCAGGACGTTTGTCCAAAAACTTGGCTGACGTGGCGGAGAAGCTGAGCGGGGGTGAAGTAGTGCAGCTTGGATATGGGGGTGTCCTGGAATGGTGGCACACCCATAGTTGGATGGTTTATAATGGAAAATCCAAGAAAATCCCATCTATAAATGGATGAAAATTAAGGGTACCCCTATTTTAGGAATCCCTCATATAAAGGTGAGTCTTATGAACAAATGGTGGTTCAATGATGTTTCACCTTCAACTTGACAATTGTTTTTGAATTTTACGTGCCAACTATATGGTTCTGTTTTAATGACCTGGGGTTCTTTCCCGCATTTCACAGGGATATTGGATGATATTGGGTCATGGGTCATGGGTGCCGAGCAGTGCCAGGTCACCTGTTGACACCCCAGTGTTTCAGTTTCACCATGTTTCACCATGAAATTTGTTGGTGTCATTCTTAAATATGTTGAACATCCCGTGCTTCTTTTTGGACTGTGGTTAAAGCATGTTAAAGCTGTCAAATTATAGGCAGGCAATGCTCCGGACATTCAGCACCACGCCCAAAATCCAAAGGAACTCTCTGAAGCGCTCCTCGGAGTTCCTATCGTCGGCTGCAAGACTTTTCGTGCCTGGTGGTTTCTTTTCGTTGCAACGGGTGGGAGATCCAGCTTGAAGCGGAGGGCACGTCTACGTTTTTTTTTCTTGGTTGATCATGCTGGCTATGTAGTAGGTTCCTTACCATCCTTACCTGGGTCTGTCCCAATTTCTAAATGGGTTATAACCCCAGTGGTATCTTGCTTCATGTAAATGGGCATATCGTCCAAGTAGGGGTCCTCTATTTGTTTGAAAATTCGACACTTAAACTGGTTGCCCGTGGCTAATTACAACCCCAAAGCTGGTGAGGATGAATCCCAGCCTGACCAAGATTGAACCCTGGTGACTTTCCATCCTCCCTGTGATTCCTGGGATGATCCCGTGTTGACACATGTTGCTGCAAAATGTTGGAAGCCACCAAGCGATTTCCCTCCCCAATCTCCAAGGTTTCGAGATGCCACCGGACCCTCGAATCTATCGGGGCCCACGTGGAGAGACACAGCGCGATTTCTATGGCTCTTTCTATGTTCCTCCAGAGAAGCAATACGTGGAGGACCTGCTTTAAACATCCGTTAACGCCTTTGGCACTACTTAATCCCAGAATGATGAAATGCCAGCATCACCTATCAATCAAGGAGTTCTTGTTTATTTCTTTGATAGTGGCTTCAGTTGACTTAGAAGTACCCAACTACATGTCACATTTCCTTAAAATATCTGGTGTCTTTTATAGAAAAAGATCACTCGACCATCCCCTCTCAGGACGCCCCCCCTGGCAGCCCCGCAGCCAAGATCTTGGAGACGGTGCAGCGGGAGCTGGCCGAGGCCGGGAGCTCCTCCTCGGCGCGGAGGCAGGTCCTGCGGCGCCTGGTGCGGCGGCTGCATCCGGATCAGAACCGGGGCAAGGAGACTGCAATGTGAGGGTCAAATATGAGGCCCCCGTTCGATAGCGTTCAGTTGGGGTTCACATAACTCCAATAACTATGGTTTATGGTACTTACAACATCTTATAACTATAGTTACTGGGGCGAATCTAAACCAACTTATAACTGGGGTGGGGTTTGCGGGGTTGGGTTGAAGGTGGTATGCCCGCCAGTGATGTTTGTTGGACAAAAAACATACAGGGCAGCGCCTTGTGGGGATGGCGGTGGTTGTGGGTGGATGTTTTGACCCTTCCATGGATTTTACGGTGATTTTCCAGTTCCGGGTTTGATTCCCGGGAAGGGAGATGGGTTAACTAGGGTTGAAGCTGTGCTACTGATGAAATATAGTTTTTTAAATCACCTCTGACTTGGATGCCACTTTGGTGCTTTGAAAGCTGGGAAGGTTTGGGCGAAGGGTTAGGGGATTCTGACCCCGTTAAAGTACCGCAATTGACTGCCCTTGGTAAACTGACATAACTGTGGAACATCACAATTGTTGATAGGTACTGTACATCATCTATGATCATTTTCCATATAGCTATGTTATGCTATGTTAGTTTACTGGAGGGCTCTAAGTTGCCAGTTGCCATCCAGGAGGAGGAGGTGACTCCAGCTTTTCGCTACATCCAACGGATTCGCTCGGAAGAGATGGATCAGCGTCGGTGAGTCGTGGCGTCGGTCTGCGTCGCGTCGCTGACGCATCGCTGCCGTGGGAGGAAAAAAAACATGGGTTCCGTTGCGCTGCTCCCCTGTCGGAATGACATTTTGGCTGATGTTCCTTCATTTTGGAAGTGTTCAAACCCCAACATCAAGCATGAATAGTTCCGAGGAATTCACACATATAGACATATATAGACTATAGAGTTATGAGTTGCATGTTTGATTGCTCGTTTTCTTCATCAGCCATCATCCTACTCCTTCGTTCGGGACTCATCTAATGTCACCTATTATCATCCCAGTGGCAGGTGGAAGGTGGTAAGAAGGTGGAGGAACAAAGTGATGAGAAAGACATGGGTATGTCATACGTTTCTCAGCTGCAGTTGTCATGCCATTTCCAGTTGGCCCACCTACCGCCAAGATGCAGCAAGGACCCAATATGGAAAAACAATGAAAAACATGCTTCAAGTTTGTTTACATTAGCCATGGCTAGAAACAAAACATAACAGTGCCGTAGGACTGGACGTTTTGAATCAACTGGAAGGCCCTGTCGACCCGGGCTAAGGATGAGCTCGGCGATCTGGGACACTTGCGGAAGGTTTTTGGGGGGCGCAGTCCATGGATGGAAAAAATGGGCAGAGCAGATGGAGAACACATCGTTTCTTTCGTTGGTGGATGTTGGCAATTGGTGGTTTTCTTATGTTTCCTATTCTTGTGTTATTTCTATTAAACCTGCTATTTGAAATCAGTTGACCTTTTGGCCCTTTGCAGGCACAATTCTTCGAGGATGGATGCGGTTGAAACATGTTGAAACAGCAAACCAGGGCATAAGATCCTCATGTTTAAAACCAGTACAGGATGGTTCAGGGGGTGTTCAAACGACGGGGTATATGACACGGCGACTGTGGTTGATTCATGAACGGGATAGGAAGCTCACTGTCATGGACAATGGCAAAACAAAATAACAAATAGCAATCATGTTCATGATACTTCATTCTTCATGATTATCTTTAAAGACTCTCAAATGACTATACCCGATATTATTCATGTTGCTCGTATTATATCATAACTTCTTGGATCTCATGGATCTATAACAAAACCAGGGCTTGGGTCAACATCGGAGGTAGAGAAGTGTGGACCGCTCTCCACCTTTCTGAAGTTGCGGCAGCTCTGGTCCCACAAGACCGCCGAATGGACGGGTCCCCAGGAGAGCCGGGAGGGTTTTTTGGCCATCCAAAGCTCCCCCAAGCGCTTCAACCATGTTCAACCCGTGAGAGCCCGGACGTTGGAGTCATGTGAGGTTTTAAAATGCATTTTTTTTGGAGATTACCCTCTGATAATGACTAACATAGCTATGGAAAATTGCCATTTATAGTTGATTTACCTACAATAAATGGTGTTTTTCCATAGCTATGTTAAATTACCAGAGGGTAATGTCAACCCGGGATTAAACCATGGTTTATGAATTAGCGGGGGGTACTCCTCCAATAGTCATAATACTTAAATTGTACCCTCCCAAAGAAACAGTCGTTTGGGGTGTATTAATCAAGGGTTGACATTAAATGTCACAATGTGGGCCCCCCCAGTTATGAGATGGTTTATAAACCCCATAAATATATGAATGCTATAGTTGTTTGGGTATCATAAACCATAGTTATTGGAGTTATAAACCCCCCATTCTTCGTTGTTTTTGTTTCTGAACCGCCAAAAACGTGGTTCGGATGTCGTGGAGGACAACGATAAGGCGATCACACCCTCCATCCGGGTGAAGGTCCAGCCCAAGACCTTTGATGAAAAGGTGGCGCAGAAGGCGCGGAAAACGTGGTGCCGGGTGATGGACACTACCCTCTGGTTATGACTGACATAGCTATTGAAAATGGCCATTTATAGTGGATTTTCCCATTAAAAATGGTGATTTTCCATAGTTATGTGACCGTTTACCGGAGGATAACTCTTTGGTTACTTAACATAGCTATGGAACATGTCCATGATGATGTTTTTACCTGAAATTCGTATTGCCAGAGGGTAAGCCCCAAAAAGATAGAAAAGAACAAATCTGACGGAAATACTGTACTTTCCTATCCTTTTGTGGGTGGTTTCTATAAGAACCATGATGCTAGCAATTAAGTTGCCAAACTCTAGAACAGCCGCGGGATCAAAAAGGGTGGAAGTGCAACGTTCCCCATCTCCAAACTGGCCCTCTAGTATTTATCAGTTTGCTATGCAACCATTGACGAACTCATATTTTTCAAGAGATCGTTAAAACCACCAACAAGTAAAAATATGAATTCTGATGGATTTACAACCATTTGGCAACTTGGGACTCCAGGGTTCAACGTTCATCAAGGTTCCCCCAGCAACGAGCAGTTGGTTGGGCAAGCTGCTGTGCTCGGAAGATATGGTGCAGAATCTCCTGAAAAGGGGAAGCCTATCACTCTAGCTGGTGCGTGGTTTTTTGTTCGCCGGAATTTTGAGATGATAGTCCCACACCCATAGGACCCATGTATGGATATGTATGGTATATGTGCTAACATTTGGGGTATATTGATGGTAAATGCTACCATATATGCCATACATGGATCCTATGGGACATGACTCATTAAGTTCAGGGGCGTTGAAACCACCAACAAGATGTTTGAGGGATCCTTTCGGTTTGGACAATTTTAGTTGGCTCATGTGCCAAAAAAAAGGCAAGTTGTAGGCTCCTGCAACTCGCTTTGGGAATTTGCGTTGAGTTCATTCCGAGAATTGGCTCAGGGAATTTTCACAGGACACCAGCATTTTAGTAAGTATAAAGACTAAAGACAATGGTTTCCTGTTGGTTTCCCTCGACTCGGTCCATTTCAATCCATTGAATAAATATATATATACACACGTAAAATCAAAGTACATTTGCTGAACTCATCGTAATATAGCCATCCACAAGCGTTTGTTACCAAAATGCATGTCGTAGATTGAAAAGAAATGAATCCCAAACTGTATCTGATGGGGCGTTTCGGAGCTGTGGGGAAGCACATAATCCCGAAATCAAATGGGGAAGCAGTGCTACTAAAGAGTTTCAGAAGCACATCATAGAAAATCACGTAAAATGCCAAACGCAAAGTGAGCGTTAACTGAACTGAGAGACCCTTGTCCGCCGGTCAGGCCTTCACCAGCCACATGGATTCAGATACCTGGTGATGATGGAGTTTTCAACATCAACGGGGAAACCACGGATTTTACCCAGATAGATGAACTAATATAAATAAAGATGGAGAAATCAATAGTTTTAGGTCAAAAAGTTGGTTACAGGAAATCCACGGGGATATGGAAAAGTCAACGAGTCTTCTGCCCCAGATGTTGCAGCCTGTGGTGACTACCTCTCAAGGATCACCCCACTTGGTAGATTGCTTAGTAAAGGTTTTTTTTTGATTAACCCAGTTATACAATGTTATACATGGGAGAAACCCAGGGATAGCTAGGCCTTCTTTGCCAGGGGCAACTACATAGATTTAGATAGTTTTGAGTTTTGAAGTGGAATGATTCTCCAGGTATTTGTTGGTTCAGGCAAGAAATGGCCTTTGGGTGTAGGTCACGGGAGTCTACAAATCGGTATGAGGGTGCCCAAGCTTCTGTTACACTGTTACGCCATGACTTGAGCGACCTCGGCAAAATTTGGCTCCCAATGTGGTTGAGGACAATGATGATTTAGTCAACAAACATGATGGTATAATAAGATGGAGAGAGATATATATATATATATATGGATCTATATGCATATCTGGATATGTAGCGGGATATATATCTGGATAAACTATTACGACCTCACGTCGCGACGTCACTGGAATGAAGGTATGGAGGGGGGAACTCTCCCAGCATGGCCCAACTCTTCAGGTGCTCTTCTCCTCCGATTTATAGCATTTTAGATTTTGGGGTACTGTACATGTAACAAGTCATAGATCATGACATATCCTGGTTGGTGGTTTGGAACATTTTTCACTTTTCCATAGATTGGGAGTATATAATCATCATCCCAACTGACGAACTCATGTTTTTCAGAGGGGTAGGGTTGAAACCAACAACCAGTCATTATTAACCATCATTAATCATCATTAACCATCATTAAATCACATTAAATTGGTGCCCCATTACCAAACTTTTCTCATGGTTCATCCTGATTTTTTTCCGTCATCCCCGTCATCCCCTGAGGAAAATTATGTCTACGATGACCTCTATGGCTATTCCCTGGGAGTTCTGCAAGGGCAGGGACGAACAGCCCCTCGGGGATTCGCGGGGTGAACCAGTTGGAGTCCCGGGCAATGCTAGAAATCGACGAAACTTGGGAATGTTTATACCACTCAAATGGTGACTTGGGGGATGGTTTCTGGCATTGGGTGTATCCGATGTATCCCACGTTATAATATGTTGTTTAAATCATTTAAGTGTTGTTTGAACTGCATGGTACAACCATAAACCTTCCTATGAATCATTACCCATAGGATCCATGTATGGTATATATGCTAACATTTGGGGTATATTGATGGTAAATGTTACCATATATGGCATACATGGATCCTATGGGTTAGTGTTGCTGATTTTTGGTGTGCAAATATTCCCGTGGTGCTGTATGAAATTGCACGACTCGCCAGTCCCAGCTGCGAGTGGCAGCTTCGGAGCGGCGTTGGTTTTTCAACCCCGGCCTTTTTCGGTACAGATATTATGGATCAAATTTATTGGACCATTGGGCCCCAAAAACTGGCCAGCCAGGGTTAGTTTATACATGTCTACTGTATCATATATTTATTTTGTATGGTCGAAAAAATTACGGTAGAAAAAACAGTTTTCCAGCCAATTATTAGCTGGGCGGCACTTCCTAAACATTCTTCCCTATCCCCAGGGCTCACCATCGAACTCAGGTCGAACAGCTGAAAGATCCTGCGGTGTGGAACGAACTCGCCCGAGCCAAATGTGAGGACCAGGGGTATAGGTACCCAGGTACCATGTCCTCGGCTCAAACTTGACTCCTCGAAGTTTACTTTGGAGGTTCAGAAGGTGCCCCATAGTTCTTCCATACTTTGCATCGTGTGGACGGTAAGAAGCTGTGAATCGTCTCGAGGAAACACAGCTGAGATTCCTAGATTGACTTCACTCACTGGATCCACCTCCAATCGTATCCAGCATGTGCTTGTCCAAACAAAATGGTGCCACAACAAAAGCTCTGGTTTGAATCATCCTATGACAGTGCCAAGTAGAACATTTCAGGGCGTAATGTGGTAAACCCAATCATAAATAACCTATCCCAAAAAAATGGCCGTAGATGGATGGTAAATATCATCCCATATCATTCCCACATGGTAGGTTTATTGCATTGGGTTTACCACATGAACCCGATCTCCCCAATTCTTTTGGACACATCCGCAATACACTGTGATCAGTGGGAATTCCAGGATCCTAAAATGGAGGTACTGTACCATATAAGGCCATATTTTGGGTGTATATTCCGTTACATACGTTACATAGCTCTTACATAGGCCTTATATATGGTACTGTAGGTACCTCCAATTTAGGTACCGTGGCCATTGATGTGAATAGCAAATCGCAAAGTTCCGCCGCAGGAAGTGCAAAAGATCCATCAATTCACCAACGACGAGCTGGTGCTTGCCGATATCTTAGCACCTCGGTTTTCGCGGTACCGCTGTGAATTGGATAACCAATTGGATTGGCTAAGTAGTTTCTGAATAATGACTGAGATTATGAATATACACATTCATATACATATATAATTGCACAGTTATGTATGTGTACATATAAATTTGTTCGGATATGTATACCCGCTGCAACTTTGATTTTGTCTGATCTAAGATTCCAAGATCGATCCGCCTTTCCATGGCAATGGAACTAATGATTCAAAGCCAAGACCTTAAACTGCCCCCAGAATCCCCAAAGGATCGGTTTATCATGGATTATCTCAAAATTGATAAACAGAATGTATGTACCCTCTGGTAATTTAACATAGCTATTGAAAACGGCCATTTATAGTGGATCTACCCATTGAACATGTTGATTTTCCACAGTTATGTTAGTTTACCAGAGGGTACCACTTTAAATAAATGATGTTAAATGTCAAGTGTAGACACCCCCCAGTTATAAATGGGTTATAACCCCATGAAAACTATAGATATATCACCTATAAAACATAGTTATCAACTATTGGCCCTAAATGTCTCGATCAAAACTATTGACCATTTACCATATTTAGAATCCCATTAACCATAGTTATTAACGACTATTTGATCCCATTAACTATTGGACTTAAATAATTTCAACTATTAACCATAGTTATTTACCATAGTTAATAACCATAGTTAAACTTTGATCCCATTAACCATAGTTATTAACTATTGACTGTTGAATTCCAACAGTTCTCTCGATCTCCGCACAGGACATGAATTTGCCCATCATGGCGATGTCGCACTGCTCAGCTGGATGGGAGGCTCAGCAGCGAACGACCGAGACGTCCTGGAGTTTTAGTGCGATAGTAAGGGGAATTATACCAGTTATATATAACATATATAATATATATATATATATATTACATGAATTGGATGGATGGATAGATAGATGTATACATATATATATATATATCCTATATTAGCCTATAGTCTTACTGTATTTCCGGTGAGTGAATTGATATTTGTTTTTGGGCACCCAGATGATGGATGTTTGCAATTGGATCAGCGCTCGCAGGAGTCACTGCAAACTATGTTCAAGTGAGCATCTAAACTAAGACGTTTTTTTTTCTCGGATGTGAACTATAGGGTCAGATTCATTCAACATATTCAACTAGGTGGCAGTGTTCAACTTCATGTTTTCCCTTTTTTCAGATTGTTTTTTATAGCGTCTGTACTGAGTGGTCCGTGCTCTGCTTTGCAGATATCTTCACTCAACATGGGAATCAATGTTTGAAAAAAATGACATCAACGTTAGATTCGAAATGAAAAAGCATTTGAATCAACATTGGGATCCAATTGTTTGAATGAACATCGGAATCAGCAATCGAAACAACATCGGAACCAACAGTAGAAACAACATTGGAATCAACATTAGAATCAATATTCGAATTAACATCGGAATCAACATTAGAATCAACATTGGAATTACCATTGGAATCAACAGTAGAATCAAACATAGAATAAACAGTAGAGTCAAGATTAAATCAACATGTACTGCATTTCTTTCTTTGGGGTGGCTCTTGGGCAAATCTGCGGCTCCCAGTTTTGCAAACCGCTAAGGAGATGCTTCCGGAGATGCGTGCTAACCCCTATATTACAAAGAAGGCTGAATATCACAGCATCACAGATGCTTGGGAGTAATGCATGACTGGCATATTCGGATTTTTCATGAATGGTATATACTATAATTTGTATGTATATATATATATATATTTAGTGTATATATAAATATATATATGTGCGTATAAAGTATAGATAAATAAGAAAATATATACGGGTAAATTATAATGATCTCACCGTGAGCTCACTGGAATCATGGTGAGTAAGGGGAACTATTCCATATTATTTCAATATATATATATATGTGTATAGTGCCGGACATATACTTAGAACATTGGTTTTGGAATTCCAAAACATGTTCTAAGTAGAGATCCTGGACCACTACTTAGAACATATATGTTCACGGGATGTTCTAAGTAGAGGTTTTGGGGGTTCCCCCATGTTCTAAGTAAGAATCTCCCCAGCTATCTACGTGCATTTTTGGAAAATCCTGTGTATATATAATATATTTTTAATATTGTAGTTGTCCGGCACTATATATTCATATAATAAAAACTTTCCAAACCTGATGTTCGAATTGTAGCCTCTCACCTAGAGCATCCGGATCCATTCGCTCATTTTGTTCAGCTCAATATATGTACCTATTTATCTCGAATCTCGTCCCGCTGTAGGCTTTGGACCATTCCAACCGCTCAATCGGTCATATAATTTCAATATACCTCAATATAGTCATCTCCATGTATCTTAACGCAACATCACACCACCTGTATATATAATATAAATATGCAGTGTTAAGTTGTATGTATGTATACATATACATATATTTACATGTATATATGATGGCATGTTCTAAGTAGAGGATCCTCATATGTTCTAAGTCACTTAGAACATACGTCCCCCTATTCGCCGAAAATGTTCTAAGTAGAGCGCGCGTACCCACCGAAAAATTTCCAAAACGATGTTCTAAGTAGTTGTCCGGCGCTATACATAACATAACTATTTGTTTTCTGAATATTCATGAGCTACCATTCTATGCGGATAGAATGGGAGAATAAGGGGATATACAAGTATAATCCTCCTGTTGCCTTTTTTCTGCGCTTTTAAGGGCGGAACATAGTACTATGGAGTCAGACAGGAGGAAAACTTCTGGCAAGGGCACTTTTCCAATTTTTGGGCATAGAGCAAAACTGGAAAAACGAGGACTTTGGGCGGATTCATTGGATTGGTTTTCTTGGGATTTTTGCGGAAACCATGGTTTTTACCATCAAATATGGGAGGGTCCTGTAAATTTTCCCTTAAACCAATCCTATGAGGCTTGGGTCAGTATGATACCTTGGCAAAATCCTGCAGAACTCCACTCGATGCCATGGTTGGGACCTAAAGGGGTAACGTTTGGAAACCACGGAAAAATGACCGTAAACTCATTGCACACAAAATTAGCAATTACTATTTCTTTGCTTTCCAGATTTTTGCTGCCTTGATGATGCAGAGTCAATACGGTCCCAGACGGCCCAGTTGAAGTAAACAATTTTAGGCGTCGTCAATTTGAGTTGGCGTAAGGATTGCAAGAAGATCACCGATCGTGAGTACGCGCGACATCACTACATGAATCTTGGCTAATCAGAGCCTGGGTGATGTTGTCCAGGTCGGCTGGTAGCTTCAAATGATGTGTGGTTTCCATTTGTTTGGAAGATGCTTTTGGTTTGTTTTGTTTTTTTTCATTTTCAAACCAACTTTCTCTCAGACGTTCACATAGGTTTTCCAATGTGGGCAGCAAATTTGGGCCAGTTTCAGCCTGTAGATACCACGGCCTGAGTAGCGCCATGGGAAATAACTAAAAATTGCTTTTTATTTTTTTTAAATATATTTACCCTCAGGTTATGACTAACAGTTCGCCATGGTTTTTCGATGGCCCTAATCGAAATAGATGATTTTCCCAGCTACAAACCTCCATTTATGTGGGGGATTTCCCATGGCTATGTTAAATAACCAGATGGTAAATGTGAAAACTAAGTACAATTAAGAGGAAGTTTCATGAATTTTCCATTGCCATGTGTGATTACTGGAAGGCATAAATAATTGTTTTCATGGAAAATCATAGTGTTTAAAATAACGAGCCACTTACAAGTCCCCCCACGAAAATCAAAGCTGTTTGACTCTGACTATTTGGAATGATCATCCCAAATTGACCCAACATATCCACCACATACACAATATCAATAATGTGGGTAAAACAATAATAAACCACCCATAACTGGGAATTGTTTATACCACCTATTTATGGTGATTTGGGGGATGGAGTTTTCGTCGCTTTGTTGACCAGGAAATGTCTCCTGGGAATCAACAACGCGGCAGCGGACGCAGCCTATTTGTTTGCACGCGCTTGCTTATTGGACGGTGGCAGCCGGTGACATGGCAGCTGAAGGTATGCTGAAGGTCACCTCCGACAAAATCAGCCTTTTTTTTGGGTGTGGTGGTGGATATATGGAAGTCTCATGAGGTCTCCTACCCCAAATTATCCAGTCGTCATAGATGATTGGACCATTGGATGACCGTTTTAGTATTGACATGGTGACGACTGGGGTAATTACTCCTGTTCTAGGAAACCTCCATATTGATCTTCGGGTCTCATTTGGGGGGTTATTTGTGGTTAAAGGAGGTGTGAGTCTGCAGAATGACATACTGTAATGGGGATGATTATTAAGACTGGTAATTGGAACAAATCGGAACAGTCAAGAAATAGGAACACATTTTTTGACAAAGTGACCAGTTGTCTACTTCGGGATGGACTGAAAATTGGAACCGTGCAGTGCAGGGGCACACGCAGCTGTACAAACTACAGTACGTTCAATACATTACGGTCACCACACTCTCAAAAGTTCCTGTCTTTGTCGCTAAGTGCACGAAAACCACAAGGGTCGATGTTATAGTGGTAGTTCGGCTACTGAAGTGGTTGGGAAGTTTTTTTCGAAAAATCGCAGGAATTCCCAACATTGCAAGGCTGCGAATGGAGCAGGCTACCTCTGGTCAAGAGTTTGTCATCCCATTACTGATGATCATACCACATGCCTGATATCTTGACCATGAATGACCATAATATGTCCACGTTTTTTTTTTTCCACTGGTTGCTGGTGAATAAAAGAAGTGCCCCAGTGGCCCCAGCATGGAAACACCTGGTAAATGGCATTTCTTCATGATACACATCTAATTTTCATTGCCATCACATGTTCTCTCTTGATTTGGAGGGGTGCCTGAAACAAAGAACGAAGCCTTCGTCCCAGGATTGGCCACTTCTCTGAGTGCCCCTTCGATTTGGAGGTTGAAGGAGTCTTGTAAATTTTGGGGAAACACCAGCAGAATCCGTTACCATTGCATCAGATAGATGAATAAATAGTGGTGACTGGCGCTATGCCACTATGCCAGATGTCTTACAATTACAATTTAGTGCGGCAGTGGAAAGATATTCTATCCCTGCCCTGGTCGAGTTGGCTGACTGTAAATGCAACCAGCTCGCTGTGAGGTGCGACAGACAAAAAAGGATTGCTACTTGGAGATGGGTTCCACTGCATCAACACTTATGATGGTTAAATCCAATTAAGTATCTGAAAGGAGACAAAGATAGATGATACAAACCAATTCCACATGGTTGGCGTTCAAGGATTTTGTTGGGATAGTGAATTATGATGATATCTTTTAATTTTAGGTGTTTCAATTGTTTTGTTTTCAGGTCGCTAAACCATGTAACTGCAACTCATAGCCCTGATAGTCGCGGAAATTGGTTTTCAGACTGTAGTGACAGCATGTGACAGCGTCGCCTACTCCCATCATTCCAGAAGATTTGGATTTCTCCAGCCCCTGATTCAGGAGAAATTTGAGGGAAGTGGTGCGAGGTGGTAAACATCACAAGCCAAGCATATCATTAATATGACAAAAGAAAGTGGGAATGCATGGCCCAAACAATGAAAAGAATCCCAGGTTTTTTGGATGATGATATCGTTTCACAGGAAAATCAGCAAACCTTCATAGCCTAGGTTTACGGTGATTTGTTATTTTCCCAATGGAAAATCCACCATCACCATTTGGGGAATCTATAGTGAATATTTGTTTATTTATTGGGCACCCGGCACCCCTTAAGCAAATCTAAGTTAAGCCTTCATACTTTAGACCCATGGTGAAAACCCTATGCGTTCCGAATTTTCATCCTTGCTGTCGCACCTGCATCGCAGTTTCGACAGCCCGCCCCGTGGCGCAACTGAGGCAGGGGCCGTATCTGTTTTATATCCTTTCTCTTACTACATGTATACATGTATACTAAGATGTGTAGTGGATTTGCATTATACATATGTGATCATGTTCACTCAAACGTTTCTACGGCTCTTATGGTAAGTAAACATATATGCGCATTGGTTCGCGAACGCATGATTCAAGATGTTTGTGCATGGATCTTTGGCGGAGGTTGTCACGGAGAAATAATTTCAGACCCTTTTTGTGTGTGTGTGTGTTCGGACTTGTTGCCTCCTTTGTGCAAGTGATGGTGTGGATGATTTATTGTGACCTGAATCCGATCAATAGATCTAGGTTTTTACATTGATTAGATGTTCTCAGGGTCATTTAAATATCACGATTATCGTGATTGTCATTATTATGATGTTTTTTTTTTTTTTAAAAATATTATATGGATATACCTGCATATATATATATATATGCGTGTGTGCCTATGTATACATATATATATATATATGTGTGTGTGTGTGTGTATTCTTATTTATCCTGTCGGCAGGCATGCAAAAAGCGCACCGCTCTCCAAGGCCCACAGTGGCCCACTCCTGCGACCCTGTTGGGACGCTGGCATCGCAGCGGCATCAGCAAGATTGGAAGTTCCGCAAGAGGGTTCAGTCGGTTAATGGTGATTAATGTTGGGATGATGATGATGATGATGATGAGATGGTTTCTAATTGATGTTCAGATGGTTTAGATGATGATTAGATGGGAAAAATATCCTTAAATGTTGGATTAATGTGTTAGCAATACTTATCGTACTTGTTATTGATGTTGGCAACCCTGGCTGCCATGAACCTACCATGACGGCAGATGGTTGAAATCCCATAATTTTATGGTGATGACTTGGGGATGGTGCAGATGGCATTAGGTTTTGGGTATTTAGGATATCTCATCATGGGTTTGTCTCAAACTATGGTGAGGTTCTGTTTATGAGCGATCCCAGCCCCCACATGTGAACTACTCTAAAATGAATTGATCCCAGCCACCAAGCCATGAGTTTCTGCAGGGCTTTATTACCAAAGTACCTAACTTTGGGGAGATGCTTTTTTTTTTTAAAAATGTGGCAAACCCAATAATTACCATAAACCTGCCATGGAAACACACACACTGCCGGTATGGTAACTTTGGGGATTTGTGATTCAGTGGTTATGGCTGATCTTGGGGGGATGGGATTGATGTTAGAAAAAAACAATGCCCTAAATCATATATCATTTTTTCCCCAGAGCTTTTCTGAAATTGACAGTTAACCATCATTAACCACCATTAACCATCATTATATAACCGTCATTAATAGTGATGATGATGATGATGGTGGTGGTGATGATGATGATGTTTAGTATGACCCCCAGTCATGGTTGTTGAATGGGATCATGTATGGCATTGGGTGTATCACATTAATCCTACCCCCCAACATGCCTGCAAGCTGACTGGGTCCAATGCCAAACCTGAGTTTCTGGGGGCCTCAGGCATGTATTTTGTAGTAGGGGGAAGGGTTCACAGCTTACAGCCAGGGTTACAACTTTCATTGGCGTGGATACCACGCCCATGAATACCCATGAACATTGCCACATACTCACTTACTCTATATATATATATATACATAGAATTGCACCCCAAGTACGCTTGCAAAAACGGGAATTGAACCAAGCCAAATGGGGTTACACAAAGCAAGACAAGGATTGATGGAACCAAAATCTGGGCATGGACAAGACTTTTTGAGAACGTGAATGCAAACCTTCAAGTTTGCGGAGTATACGCAATTTCGAGTAGCACCCATAAAACTGGCTACAGCAGGACAGAACCAAATGATTAATAATAAGGAAGAAAGGTTTGTCAGACATTTTTTGGGCCTCACATTCCTGGGTTTCAACTACCAACAAAGATAAGGTTTGATTGTTTGGAGAGGTGCCTCCATTCAGAAAACTCTATATCTGGAGCCATCCGGATCGAGTCTTTTCGCATCCACAGCACAAGCCCGCTGATGCCCGGCTACCAAGCATGTACCATACAGGATACCGGGCTAAGGGAAGTCCGTTCTGATGCCGTTGCTGCGTCAGGAAAAAAAACGCCTTTGATCAGGGGAGAAAGCCAAGGCTGTGGGTAAGTTGCTGCATTTTCACAATACATTTGTTTGATTCGTTCATAGCCAACCTTGGAATATCTCGGTTCATGCCCCAAGTCAGCACCTCCTGACCCTGACGTATCAATCTAATTTTTGGAGATAGTTTCAGATAGTTTATCCATGTTTACCCAGTGCAGTATTTGGTGAGGCAGATGTGCTGAGGACCAAATCAAGCAGGTCTAAGGCGTCTAAGACAGATTCCTGAATGCATATGATATGTTATAAAACCATATGCTTTAAAAAAGAAAACTAATTATATATATATATATACATATATCATATATATATAACATTACCTCTTGGTGGCTCATCCCAACCCATTTCAGGTAAAATAGGGGATGGAATGTATTGAATCTATACCATTATTGATTGGTTTATCTTCTGTGCGTGCCATGGCACCTTGTCCGCCGCCCTGCAGTCAAGCTGATTTCAATCAAGCTCGCTCTTTTCGCCGCACTGATCGAAGAGCCAAACATTTCGGAAGATCTATTTGAATCTACTTTGATCTTTGGCTATCTAAGATTCACCATCAACTATGCTATCGGCATAGTTGTGATGCTATCCGCACATGTTTTACTGCATAGGATGATGGCTCAAGAGTTAGTCCCAAGAGTGTTACTCTTGGGATGAGCGAGCCTCACTATATCAGGGACCTTCAGGGCTTAACCTACCGTGGCTCAAGCATCATTTCTTGTTGGCGCCCCAGAAAAAGACCGCAATGGTGCAGTGCCCCATTCCGGTGCACACTGCTTGTGCGGGGGTTTCTTGGCAGCCTAGAGAAAATTAGAGGAAGTGGCCCCTTTCCCCAAAAATTACATGCCCATGACACCCCAAAAACGTGAAATGCGCGAATTTCAGACTTTGAAATTGGCAGATGAATCACAGAATTGGGTTGAAACATTAGCAACACATGTTAGCCACAGCTAAGATATTGGTAAAGCGGCTGAGGCAGCACTTGTCACATCTTGTCACTAATGTATGCAAAGTGCATGAAACCAACCACCTTTGCACGCACTCTACTTGTCATGATGCCTCTATTTACTTTTCTGCTGCCAATCTGTTTGGGCCACTGTGCAATAAGGACTGCTCGAAACGGGATGTCATGAGCTCAAAACACAATTAACGCGACAGAGCATGATACAGCCATAAAGGCATGATAAAGCCCCGCTCGAACAATGATAATTTATCCTACGGTATCCTACGGCCCACCAGATGTAGTAGATGTGCCCCAAGCACTGTACAGCAATAGAGCCCCCTCATGTCAAAACAGTGACCGGCCATGTTATAGTTCCATGCGGTGAGTGATTTGGCCAGTTGGTAACTTGCAGTCAGTCGCTTTTGAGTAGAGACCCAGATCCAGAGCCTTGAGAGCAATTGAGGGTGCCATGGGTTCAGCCGTTCAGCCCCTGTCGTTTGCAAGTCCTTTGCTTTGTGAACCATGGCTAACCACACTCGCCGCAGCATCCGAAACAGGACCAGAGGGTCTGAGAGCATGCATTCCCCAATGAATGAATGTATATATATATAATATTCCCCAAGAAAAGTTACTTGCAAGCAGAGATGGAGACCACATAAGCAGTTCAAATTATTCAAAAGTGTTCTTTTTGTGCTCCCTTTGTTTGTTTTTGTTTTTAATTTTTTTTTTGGTAAAATAAGTATATACCATAGTATGTACCTCAAGATCAAATACCCAGAGCTATTTCCATATAGGTTTCATTTCGAAGCAGCGGGTATCAGTGGGATATACTATCCATCGAGATGGATGAATATATCCGTTTAACTATATTTACATATGCTCTCCGGGAACATAACATAGCGATGAACAATCATGATGTATATTCAATAATGGGTAAAACATCTATGAATGGGCCATCTGTACCATGGCTATGTTAAATTACAGGAGGGTAACAAGTCAAGCATAATGTGTGTTTTCCTTGGTTTTTGGGGGGAAACACCCAAAAACATTCAAAACCCCAATGGATTATCATATTATAATTTGTTCTAATTAAAAAAATAAAATGACGCATGATTCTTTCCCAGATTTTCCCTATAGAAGTAAATTATATTTTTGATCGCCAGTATATTTGGAGAGTTCAATCCCCCCATTTCCAGCTCGGGACTCCTCCAGATCTTCAGGTTGAGCTGACACACAAGACTTTGGGCAGCAAGACATTTCCGGCAATCACACTATCGTTGTGCATTGACATTCCGGTCGCTTGACGTGAACCGGGGAATTGTTCATGAAACAGATGAATGAACCAAGCAATCATGGGGTGGTATATTGAGGGTATCATGGGGAGATTAGTTATTTGGTGTGCGCAGAACAATATGAATCAATGATCATTTGGTGGTTTGAAAATGAATGTGAAAGACACCGTTCGGATGAGATGGGAAGCTCTCATTTGTTGCTGAAGAGTCTGCAAACATCTTCAAGGCCGCTATTCAAGTGAATACATCACGGATTTCTTGAAATAAAGACTTCAAGATCACAACATGCCACCGTTGATCCTTTTCTTTAATCGCCCCCGGAAGGTGCACCTCAACCTATGCCAACCGTTGAGGTCACATGTTTTTTTGTTTCTGAATGATTCACCGGCAAAATGGCGATAGGTTGAAGAACTGATTGGGGTTCTCAGCAATTTTCAACAAGGATTCAGAGGCGCGGCGTTCTTGCGGCTATGGGTCCCTACTAAAAAGGCTGCTTCCCAGACATCGTGAATGGCTAAGACCCATATGAATCCATATGACATATGCATAAATATGCTACAGTAGTTACATGTGAAATATCACCAGTTATGTGGCTTATGTATGGGTTACAAACACACACGCACATATTAAGATATGTATATATATATAATTTAACTTATGTAATCAAATGCATATATTCGACGTATGTATATATATATATATATTATATACCGCTTCCCAGCTCCGACGCGCATCCAAGTAAGAAGCTACTGCTTTTCAATATATCCAAATGTGGGACGATCCAAGCAGCGGTGAAAACTGTTGATGGTCAAATCCTGGGGAAAGTGTCGATGGTATGCGTGAAAATTATTGGCAACTCAACCAGTATCTAACTACCATAGAGCGCTGAGGAGGGAAGGTAGAAATCGTTGATACAGTATTTGTTATATGTTGGTTCATGCTCTTTGGAGGAAGGGCAGCAACAAAGATTCATGTTGTTGGATACTACGAGCAAAGACGGGAAGATCCGTTTCAACAATACTTAAATCGTCGTGGTATGGAGTAGGCCTTAGTTTAGGCGATTTAGTTTGCAATTCATAAAATATGACATCCCATGAAGAAGTATCCTTGCCATAGCTTTGCGGTCTTCCATTGGCTCTGTTGCCTTGGTTGGTTATAAAAGCAAAGCTCCTGGCACCTTGGTTCTTAACTCAATAATTAAGAAAGGGCGCCCCAAAAATAATGATCAACCTTGTACGTAAACTGTCCCGCATATCACTGTTTTTTTGCTTTTGGTCATTTTGAGGTTCATTCCCTTGGTCCGACTATCAAAGGCACGTTCCGCAATACCATATCGGAGCCCTTTTGATCTTTCTCACATAGGGGTATGCCTCGCGACAAACCCAAAATTGAGGTCGGCTCATCTATAATTTGATCATATGCTTAACCACCAACCATCAAGGTGTGGTAAAAGAATGACCACCATTATGGACCATGATTCCATGATTCTATGGTCTAAACCCCGTTGACCAGTGCAAAGATTGGATGATGACAAATTCTCAGAAGAAGCCTATATTTGAGTTTGAACAAAAATATGGTTTCCTCTGGGTTAAATGGTCAAAACTCATCCAGAAGATAAGATCTTGGGTTGTTGGTGGTTAAGATTTGCATAGATTTGCCAAAAACTGAAGCCCTTATCATTGCCGATATCATGTAATAGAGATATCAGTTCCTTATTAACATGTAACATCCACTATCACTATCATTCACTTTTATTTGTATACTATATAACCATTAAAACTACTACCATTTGCTTTTTGTTAGTACATTATTAAACTACTTCGTGACCAAGTATTCACCACTTAATACATCTTAATACCCATTATTAATCAACCAATTGTCAATTACCAATTATCACTGTCACCCACTACGTATATAACTATAACCGTTATCATTAACATCCACTATTTGCAAACCAATTATTGACCCACTAGTACCCATTATTAATCCATTATTAACACCCCATCCACCACTCCATAGCCAATTATTAACCAGTTAATACCCACCTAAAAATTCATCAAGTATATCAGGTATAAGTGTAAAAAAAAACAAGTAGAATTACCTAGGTTTGTTTAAGGTGATTTGTTATTTTCCAAATGGAAAATCCACCAGAAATATGGAATCTATAGTGAAGTTTTTTTCATTTTTTTGGGCACCTCTTAGGCAAATCCTTTATTGGGCCCAAATTGTTATAATCTTTATTTTTTTATAAACCAATCATGGGACCAATAATTATTATTTAAAAAAAATATCATTTTGCCAATAATTATTGGGCCCAAATCGATGGCCAGGTCAAGGGACCGAAGCCGCCCAGTTCGGGTGCCACGCCAGGCTGGGCAAGCTGAGGCAAGCTGAGCAGAAATAGCCCCGTTTAATAGTGTTTAATAGTGGTTGATACTGGTCAGTAATGGTTGATAATGATTAATAGTGGTTAGTAATGGTCAGGAATGGTTGATACTGGTTAATAATAACGGCATATAATGATTAGTAATGGTTTTCCGATGACTATTAGTGATTAGTGGTTCATAGCGCTGAAAACTGGCTCATAGTGGTGAGAACTGGTTAATAGTTGTTGATACATGTCAACAGTGCTTAATAGTGGTTAACAGTGGTTAATAGATGTTAAAAGTGATTAATAGTGGTTAATACTTGTTAATAGTGGTTAATAGTGGTTAATGGTGGTTCATAGTGGTTAATAGTGGCAAACACATGTTTAATAGTGTTTAATGGTGGTTCATAGTGGGTTAGTAGTGCTTTGTAATTAGTTGTCAGTAGTGGTTTATATATAGTTAGATAGTGGTTAATAGTGGTTAGTCAGTGTTAGTGCTGGATATTGCTGATCAATTGTTGTTAGAGGTGGTTTCCCACCGCTCGAACATCCCCCAAGAGTTTCCGGCCAGCTAGGTTTCATCCGCCGAGTGTGTATTCTTACTTGCTTTATTGCCCAAATTTGGCATTGTGTTGAAAAAATGCCGGCCCGGAGACACCCTGTAAACTTTACCAGGGGCATCTTTGGTGGGAGAAGGGCATTTGGTGGTTTTCTCACCTGAGTTATCCAGAAATTGCGGGATTGAATTTCAGCCAAGATGGGGATTCAACCAGCATACGATACAGTCGTATGATGGGGATATCAGGCCCACTTGCCAACAATTTGGGATGGGTTTGCCTGAAAATCGGGAAAGTGTCACCACATGGGTATCTATGACCCACTTGTGGGTTGACATGTTGAGTTGAGGACATTGGTGTTTTAACTGTGTTTCCCTATCCTCTATCCAAGATTGTGTGAAATTGAAGCTTCATTGGCACAGAGGCGGGCTTGACACCGCCAAAATGACACCCTCAACTCTTCGCATATTTGAGTTTGGTTACCCGGCCTGGCAAACGTTTACACAAAACTATGGAAAATCACCAAGATCCACCATTTTTAATGGGAAAATCCACTATTTCTATGGCGCCAGTGGCGCTTCCAAAACATTGCCCAATCCTTGTCCCGTACGATCGTTAGGGTTTCTGTGCGTTTTTTTTTTTGTGAAGGTTGATATGCATACATATTAATGTATATTATTATATGCATTATATGTCCCATCCTTATCCAAGATATTCCCACATCATAAGTTATGGGTTATCATATCCCATATTTGTCCCATAAATTTGTTATCAGATGTGCATCATCCCCTGATCCCATCATCCCCTTGTTCAAAAAACGGCCAGGCCCAAGGGCGTACCGTTGCAGGCCGAGTTGGCACAATGGGGAGATGCGCCGTTGGAAAAAGTCGCTGAACCAGTCATTCTGATGATTTCGATTGAACCATTAATGGTGAACCTTTAGACAATAGAACTATATGCTTATTGATTTATTAGAACATTTCAATAAATCTAAATTATGGTTCACCATTATGAGTTTCAATAAAATTAATAGTCATTCGGTAGAACCATTATCACCATTTAATGTTCGATTGATGATTTCGATTGAAAACTTACATTAGATTATTGAAGCATTAATGGTGATAAATTGATGATTAATATCCATTAACGGTAATTGAACCAATATTCAGATTATCCCAAATTCATATTCATGTGGCAAGTGCCTATCATAGAACCGTTTGCCTTGGTATTCATAATGGGTAGTCATTATTAATGGTTCTTACATGTTTAACTATTGGCATAGAACTGAGTTGCTGGCAAGTGCCTAGCTGCCAGGATCATCCAACTACAGCCATCCACAGGCAGATAGGAATCAAAGAAAAAACAAACAATTCCCGGGCAGTTTCGCAGAGATTTCCAGGTTGTTCCGTTTTTTTGCTATTGCTGCATTTCCATGTTTGGTGGCGAATGTTCCCACATGCTGCCCTTTTTGAATGGGTTTGTTCCCGCAGCTATTGACCATGATCATGGTAAATGCAAGGGGGATCACGCGCACTTGGCCAGTTTGTTATCGCTATTTCGAGTCGGTGAATCATGATGATTTACCTACCCTCTGGTAAACATACAAAAAGCTATTGAACATGGCCATTTATAGTTGATTTACCAATTTACCCATTAAAAATTGTTATTCTATGTTATTTTCCATAGTTTTTTGTGTGTTTACCAGAGGGTAAATTGCATGCATAGTTTTGTTTAATTGTTCAAGGGTATCGTTGGTTGGGTTCGGCTTTTGTGGGTCATCCAATACATGCGGGTAGGCTAAAGAAGGTTAAACAACCTCACACCTGATGCTTGTTGGTGAGCCAAATCCATCAAAATGCTGAGTGAGTCCTGTTTAGATTGAATATTGGTCAGGGCCTTGCCTCCGGATTTCTCAATCAAATCCCGAAGTCCCACCAAATCCACTTTTTTTTTCTCCACAACACCATCACCATTCTTCAAAGAACAAGATCACCACACTTTCTGCCAGATCATGCCAGATCTTATTTTCAAAACAAAAACAATTGGGCTGATCTCCAGCATTTGCCCCACGTTTTCCAATGTTTTTCCCTGTGTTTCCTGCTGTCAGGTGAGCCAACAGCCGTGCCTGTCGGGTTTTTCTGGCCGACCCTGGGAACAACTTCCGACATCGCCCACCTTCAATCGCGTGAAGGCGGCGCGATCGCTGGGGGGTTTGCTGTTGTTGACCATCTCCAAAGGAACAACTCGACCCTGACATGAGGTGTTGGAAGGCTGCTTTTCTGAAACAAAATGGCTCATATTCTCCAGGTGTATGTTGGTGAGATGGAAAACCCACGATGTTTAATGAGGTTTAGCTGCTGACGCTTCAATTTTTGCTGGTTTAAGTCACAAGTTTTACCGTTTGATAATCAAACATGGCAACGGGCAAAGAAACATCGTGCGATGATTTGTCCAAATAGACTTATGTATATCTTGTTCAGGGATTCCAGCTAGCCATGAACTGACAAGAGGCCATGTTGGGAACCAGAAACAAAATTGTTTGTGGATTGTTCGTGCATTGAATCATATTATTAAGGAGCATGATGAACACAATAAGACGGACACTACTACAGTAGTACTACGACTACGACTACGACTACGACTACTGCTACTGCTACTACTACTACTGCTACTATTACTATTACTACTACTACTACTGCTACTACTACTACTACCACCGCTACCACTACTACTACCGCTACCACTACTACTACTGCTACTATTACTACTACGACGACGACTACTACGACTACTACTACTACGACGACGACGACGACTACTACTACTACTACTACTCCTTTTCCTGCCTCTGCTTCTAATTACAATATGAAAATATATAGTATTTATTTAGTTGTAGTTATAATTGCATAAAATTCCCTGGGCCTGTTATTATCAAAATAATATCCATCATTCCCGTGTTAAGCATCATTGGTAGCACGTATAGGCAACCCCACTGGATGGCGTGAAGGATTGACCTAGAAAGGGTACACCCGAATATGGGGATGTTGGATGAAATCCTGGTTTGGAGCTGCTGATTAATTGTGTTTTCCTCTGTTGCTGTGAATCCAAGCAAATATGAATCTGTTCCAACAACACGTGGACCCGAGCAGAAGATTGACTTCACAGGCGAAACGTGTGGTTTTTGAAAAGGTTGAAGAACCACCTTGCTCCTTTCGAAAAATCGGAGCCGTGGCATCCTTATGGGTCATCCGGAACCAAGATGTAGGTAGGTTTGGCCGCCAGGAATTTTGCCACCAAACCCCATGGTGATGATATTGGTGGACCATCAACTTACACCGTTCAAATCGCGTGCGGGGAATCCTTCATCTTGGCTTGGTGTCACCGTAAGATGGAGGATGGAACTTCAACATTTCCAGAAATCCAAGTGAAAGTTATTTGTTGGAGTGTTTCGATTGCAAGGCCCCTAATTTGGGAGGTTCCTTGAATTTCATCATCTCAAATAGGAGCAAACTAATTGATAGCAGTCAAACATTGAAAAGCATGGGGACCAATATGTGGTGATCCTTATCGAAGCGATCAACTGCACGGCAGGTGTCCAATATGGTGAAGAGAATCAAGGCACAAGATCTTCAGAAGGTCTTCTCTCGTGTCTCGGATGGGCACTCTGACCACCCATGACCCATATGATTTCATGATATTTCATGATCACCCAAGACAAATTGCCGCTTGGTGAATGATGTGTCAGCATTGTTTTCCTCCAACTTATCATGATTCACCTCTAAAATCCTTTTCCGCCTCACTTTTTGGAGGGGCCGGCTGAAACAGCAAGCAAGGGTCTGCCCAAGGCTATGTGGGCCCTGTTTGTGATTGTACTCTACGGGAAGATGTCGCCACGATCACGTTCTGGAATTCGGAGCACGCCTACGTTGCGATTGAAAAGTGCACTGTCCTTATGTCGGGTCACACTACGTCGGATCAGGGCACCACCTGCCTCAACATTTGAATTGAATCAAATATGGTCTTGCTTGTATCATGGGATGGCTTTCAGACAGATGTTTCAGATTGATTAATGGAAATGTCACAGGAAACTCAGTGTTTCTTACCATATAAAATTAGGTTCATCCAATTATATGGATCATTCACAACCGACTCTTCCAAACAGGGCTTCATCAATCACAATGTTGAAGGGATGCTGGAATTCACACCTATTCTCAGTTTGTTGTCGCCTTTTTGAAGAACAGCACCCTGTTTGTTAGGTCCAAACAGCTGAAAAAGCGGGATTGGTTCAAGGGACCGAAAAAATGGAAAACTGGTGGCCAAAACTTGAGTCAAAACCAGGGTGTGTTTGCCATGGTTTTCCTTGAAATCAAAGAACATCCCCCATGGATTTTCACACCTTTGAAAATTTTGAAAAGAACTTGGAAGACTACAACAAATCAATGTGGCTTCTGGGGTCATTTTTTTTTTACGCAGGCTGATCCACGCTCCCAGGTATGATGGAGGCACTTTGGAGATGAGCACCGCTGCCTGGCTGCCTTTGTTCTGGACACTAAAACAACATGGATTGGATAGTCTCACATGCAGATGCATGCTATACTTATACATGAGTAAATAGATTGATACCTATTAGTAGTGTGTTATGTCCATGAATCTTTGCATCTTGATGTGGCAAGAGTATATATTTTTTTTACAGAAGCGTCTTATGAGTTTGAAGCGGCGAAGCGGACCATTGGATTCTCCCTGGGACAAAGATGAACTCCCAATGATATTGGATCAGCACGAGATATCGCCGAGATATTTCTTCCATGTCGTTGCTGCAATGAGAAGTTCATCAGTCAGAACACGCGCCAGTTACAAGTCATTTCGCTGCAGCCAAGTCTTAGCAGTGGTTGGTTAGTTGGTTATTTCAACCAATGCTGGTCCTAGATTACCCTAGTTGATTTTGGGCACAGACGCGTATACTTCAATAAGTTTACCCTGAAATCTAAGACCTGCCAAATGGCCTCAACAGGTGAAAGAGAAAGATGCAATTCTGATATCATTCGGTCATGGGGTGCAATACTTGAAGATTCCAGCTGTTCATCTATGAATACGAGCGAAATCCAATCTAACATAAGCAAATATATATATATATATATAATCCCTTCCCCCTAATACTAACCCCCCCCTCCCCAAATAATAAACACCTCAGGTAGTTTTTATTATTGGGGTGTATTTATTATTAGGGAACCAAAACGGACCCTTTAAAGCCCTTAATAAAAAAAAACGATTTCAAAATCAATTAAATTTCCTTTTAAAAGGCAATTAAAATATTGCCAAAAATTGGATTTAGAAGGGGACCCTATTAATAAATTAAAAACCTTAATAAACTTATTTTTTGATTTCAAAATCAATGAAATGTCCTTTTATAATGCAATTAAATGCAATTAAAATATTGCCGAAAATTGGATTTCGAAGCGGACCCTATTAATAAACTTAAAACATTAATAAAACTATTTTTTCGATTCAAAATCAATTAAAATTCCTTTTATAGCGCGATTAAAATATTGACAAGAAATTGAGTTCGAAGCGGACCTTATTAATAAATATAAAACCTTAATACTAATTTTAAAAAAACGATTTCAAAATCAACTAAATGTCCTTTTAAGTCGCAATCAAAATATTGCCAAAAAATGGATTTCGAAGCAGACCTTATTAATAAATTTAAACCTCAAAAAAAAAACAATTTCTAAATCAATTAATTAAATGTCCTATTATAACGCAATTAAACTATTGCCAAAAATAGGATTTCGAAGCGGACCCCTTTAATAAATATAAAACCTTTAAAAAAAGAACACTTTTTTTTCGAATTCAAACTCAATTAAATGTCCTTTTATAACCCAATTAAAATTTTGCCAAAAATTGGATTTCGAAGCTTCCCCCTAATATTAAATTAAAAATCCCAATATGAAAAACAGAAAAATCACGGACCCGAATAATAAACACCCCGGGGTTAACTAGTTTTTGTTATTATGGGGCGAAACCAACAAATGGTACCTTTATTTTTATTTGTTTCCCCGGGGATCAATTAAAAGTCAATTTGGCCAACCTGAAATTTTCCAAAATTAAAGATGGACCCTCGTTTTTATTATTTGGGGGTGGGTTTTGGGTGTGACCACATGGAATCATCATCTACTGAGGACAAAAGTAAAGGAGCAGATGGGATTTTCCTTTTCGCGTGACTCGGCTCTGGCAACCAGATGTTGGACTCATGGGATTTTCATCAACAAACCGGGCAAACAAAGGCGCTACGCTCCCCAGTAATTTTAGTGGCTTTAATTAGCCAGAATGTGGGTAAAACGATGATAAACCACCCATGACTGGGAATGGTTTATAGAAGCTATGGTGATTTCGGGGGTGGTTTATTATTGTTGTACCAGAATCGGAAGATGGATGGTATTGCTCCAACTAGCAGGAATGCTAGGAGGTATGCCGAGAGGGGGAAAGTTGGCTACACATCATGATTGGATTAGATCCTCCATAAGGAATATACATAATATACACATGAGCATCCTAATATCATGTCATGTTGGGTCCGCCTGCGTTCCGGAAAGGGATGATCCAGCCCATGGTATTGGCCCGTGCATACCAATCCCTCCTGCATGTCAGGAAAGACGCCAACTTTCGAGAAACTGGGCGGCAGCTGTCGCCTTGTGAAGGGAGATATTTGGAGATCTGGAAACCTTTTTCTCTTACAGATGGTGAGTTAGGTAGTTGCAAGGATGCTATAGGTATATCGGCAGATAAAAAAAAGATAGGTTAACATAAAGCACATTTGACGGATGGGGTGGAGAAGACGAATCATGGAGGCAATATGGTGTCATCGATGGATGAGAAGGAAAGCATAGATAGCAGATAGGATAGCTACCACCTGGTTATCCCTGGGTTCGGGTTGGTGGCTTGGAATCCACCAAAAAGGCCGTGCACCATGGTGATTACCCTCCCAAAAAATGAGAGGAACCTTGGGAGTCCTCACTGCCACCAGCTAACCACTGGTTCCCATGCCCAATCATCAACATTCCGCCTGCTTGCAGGATCACCCCATAACTATTGATTTGTAACGATATAGTTCGTTATATCCAAATTGTAGATGGGATAACCCCATGAACCAGCTGCTAATCATCGTTATAATCTATATCTGGATTTTTTTCAAAACCAACTTGTAGACAAACAGCGAACTAAATCTCATTAAAACCCATTTAATCCCATAAGATACAGCCCATTAAATCACCATGAAACCACGACGAAAGCACCATTTTTGCTGGGTACACCACCATTTTCCTATGTGGAATGATCCCTCCACCTCAGGAAACGATGGAAAATCGCTTGGGGCCTTTGGGTCAATGCCAGCTTCGCCGCGGTGAAGGGTGGATCACACTGCCACGCGGCTCAGAGCCTGGAGGGCCGATGGTTGAACCACATGCTTGAGCCATATCCAGTTGTGAGTAAACACAGAGGGTTTTCCCATGGTGATTACATTAAAACTCAGGTGCCCCCCGAAAGGTTCCTTTTTGAGGCTTATGTTTGGCTTGTAAACGACTGCCATACGAAAGGGGCTTGTCAGCTTGTCCTTTTTTCCACTGGCTGCGTCTTAGGGTTACCTTCCATACCAACCAAGAGGTAAAGTATAGTTCCAAAATCCATAACCTTGGGTATGGAAAACAACGTGCAACTATAGTTGTTATATGATATATATATATATATTTAATTATTTATATTTATATTTAAAAAACTTTAGTTGTTATGGTTACTTTCTATACCAACTATGGTTATCACAACTTGCAACTGGATGGGGATAGACCCCAGCTATATACATCCGTTGCGAGTTGGCCCAAATGCTGGATGTTTTACATGGTTTTACTGAATATCTGATATCTTTTAAAACAGGAACAGGAACTTTGATGGATACTCAGTAAACAGGAACTAAATTTTGAAACAGGAACTAAGATATTCAGATATCAATATTTAATTTTTGATGGATACTTGAAGTGAATAGGAACTAAATTTTGAAACAATCTTGACTCTGGGGTTGAACATGGACCAAGATTTTCTTCCAAGGTTCCGAAGAAACATGGCTGAGCAACTGCTTCTTGGCGCTCCCGCTGGAGCAATCGGATTCAAACAAAAATTTACAACATATACAAATGGGATCTGCATTAATTTGCACCAATTCAAATTGGTGGGGAAATCTACAAGCACCTGTAGCATATAGCCTATGTATTTAATACAGGTATTATATATATATGTATACATACATACATACCTACCTACCTACCTACCTACATACATACATACATACATACGTATACATACATATATGTACATATATATATAATATGTGCATACATATACATACATTGCATTTATGCCAGCAAATCAAGATTAGTCATTGGTTGTAACTTGGATATGCTGCTTGGTCCTCCGCTTCGACAGACCAAAAGTAGGTGGTCCCTCTTCGACAGAACCATTGTAGTCTCGCCGCTTGGTCCCCTCCTGACTCAACATTGTTTTTGGCCGTAGCTTAAACATATTTGACGCACCAGTTAGCAATAGTACTGTGGTAAAGCCAATGAACAACTAGCTCCAACTAGAGATTGTTTCTACATGTTTCTACAACCCACATCTGTTCGACTTGGGCATGGTTCATTGTGAATCACCACATTCTGGTATGCCCAGCTTTGTGTGCCCAGCTCGGCCCCAGGAAGCGTGAAGATGTCTTGAACATGATTGATTTCAAGGGGACAATCATCACTGTTGACCTGGACAGAGGACTGGTTGATTGTGCTTCTGGCCTGGAGCATGTGATCATTTTTTCGGCATTGTACCAGCAAAATCTCGTTTGGAGAGCATGCATTTCTGCTTGTGGAAACAACTTGAGATCGAACATTGGCTTATATACTTGACATTACTTGATATTTTCTCCTTGGATGTGATACCAAGGCCCATCCCCGATATATTTACGGTCAACTCTAGCGACCCCAGTTGACCTGACCTGGTCGACGTTGCGCCGAGCCATGGCAGCCATGAATCTGATTTAGGACATATGGTTTTCCATGTATATTTATAGAATTATGATATAAAACATACGGGAAAATATGGTATTTAGGACATATGGTTTGATATGGTATATTTAGGACATTCGATTTTTCATATCTGTGAATATGAACCCAGATATTTCCAAAGAACATGCTATCCCCCAGGTACTTGGCGATCTTACCAGAAATTCATATCATATATTTCTCGGTAAATTCTAACGACCTCATTGCAACCTCACTGCAATCATCGTTCGTAAGGGAAATCATCCCCAAATGGCTAGATGGCCGTAAATCAGATTAAGCGGTCCTTGCTTGCGGGGAGGTGGGCCGGCCAGAAGATCGCCACAGGATCTACGGGCGCACCCATGGCCCCCATGGGAGCCAGTTTGGAGCTCTAGTGGCCCGCCCACTGGAAAGTCGCCCTGTGAAGGTGAGTTGAAACACATGATTTGGCGGTATTTTATGCAAAAAAACTATCTTCAAGCGATAAACATATGTCTTTTTTGTTAATATATTAATATAATGTGTATATATATATATATATTTACTGGTTTATTGCTACTTTGAATTTGTATTGTGACACGTCATGTTATGTTTCATTCATATTTCTGGGTAAATTATAACGACCAAACCTTGCCACTGAACCCCTGGAATGATGGTCAGTAGGGGTAGTTAACCCCAAATTACCTTTCTTTTAGGCTAGTGAACTATGTTGATTTACCATAACTTACCCAGAATATTTGATATGTCAAAAAATGTCAAAACCAAAGAAGCAAAACATACATTTAAATAGCATATTTGAGGGGATTGGCATCCATAAGCACCAGCTAATTCTGATGCTAGCGCTGCTAGGGCACCAGGGGTTTGATCGCCATTGAACATAGGTAATTTCCCATCCCAAGAGATTGATGGGGAAATAAACATCCATGTGCCAATTGCAGTGGACCCATGGCCACTTGGAAATTTGACTGGCTGAACCGTTCAGCGGGGTCTTCAGTGAGTCTTACCGGCTGGCGGTCTCTAGTGCCAGTTGGAAGTGCTTTGTTTCATGGCTGGGAATTCCACCAACCAGTGCGACACTGTTTCTTGGCCGAAAACCCAATTTGATGTCGGGCAGAGGCCGACTCGGAAAACACGGCAGATTGACGTGTCTCTGCGTATTGCGGAGAGCGTGGGTTTTTCCGGCCCGTTGACTCGCTGCGAGCGGAAGGCTTAAAAGATCGCTCAAAACATGGAAGAAGACAGTGACGAAGTCCGGCTTTTACCAATAGTCTGCATGAGATGCCAGGAATGGGGCTCCGATTGGCTAGACTATGCGTTTTGAGACGTCTTCGGAGACAATTATGTAGTGGTTTCATCAATTCCAGTTCTATGGGACGTCCCTTCTTTCTATGCCTGTAAGTGACCGACCTGACCTTGGCCATGTTCGGCCATTGTTCCCTGAGTCAAGTAGATAGACCCCTACAGGAATCCAAAAAGATAGAATATTACTGTATTGGCTCTGTATTAACTGCTATCTTGATTCCATTTGATTCATTTTGTCCCTCTGTTCTTAGCCCAACTGGGGGCCCGGAAAAAGCTTCCGCCGCAGATTGCGCCAGTCAAGACACTTAAAGACCACTGCTGTTTCGAAAAATGGCGGAAAATCACCCGCGTTGGGGGGGGGGGGCAGATGCTGAACTCCCAGGCAGAGACATATGGTGACTTCACAGGTCTATCAAGCCTTTGTATTCATAGATTCCGTCTGATTGAGAAATATATGGATATGAATGTTTGTTTGGATACATTTGCAGATTCTGCGAGGTACTTATTTTGCGTTTCCTTTTGGTAACCTATTGCGTTGTTTGTTTATTCTTCTTGCCTAGAATGATGCGCACACACATTTGCATTTGCAAGTGTCGCACATGCATCATGTTTTTCAATCCGTCATGTTTTCCAATGTTGCGTTTGCTATTGTTTTTTGATGTTTTTTGTATGTTGTGTCTGTACTTTGCCTCTTATATGCTCCATGTTTATATAACATATTATAACATTATAATAATGTATATAGTACATGTAATTTATTTACCTACATGATTGGGTCTTGGTAAATATTCCAGCACCATGCAGCATATGGCATGTTTGAATGCGTCTAACAAATGGGTTGTCGAAGCCGGCACCGGTCGACAAAATGGGTACATCTTCGCGACGCCAAACTTATGTGGTGCGGGCCCGGAGTAGCGGGGTGGACGGCGCGAATCCTCTGCAACGTTGGAGGCCGCGTGTTCCTGTGGCAGTTTCAAATTCTTTCAAAGGTATGCGATAGTCCCCAGAAATTCCAAGGTGAGTTTTCTTCTGGCAATCTAGCAGTTTGCCACGGGACATAACTATATTAATTTCCAGGAGATTTGCCAAGAATGATGATTTTCCATGGCCATATGCTCAGATTACAGGAGGGATCAGGAGGGTATAGTCCAGAAATGGGGTAGGGAAAAGGTCCATTTATTCCGCTAGATTCAGACAATGTACTGCATCGAGTATCTGCACAATTTGTGATGCCGATTTCCACACTTGCTGATGACCCGGCGGGGAAGTTACTTAGTTTATTAACCCACCCAAATTGGTTTTATGCATCGAAAAGTCCCATGAAAATGACGGCTATAGCTATGAAGTTAATGAAGTTATGAACCACCTCGTCAAACGACTTCGGGGACCAATAGAACCCCCTAAGACTTGGCTGTCAAAAGCGGGCTTTCCGTTTGAGAAGATCGTTTCGACTTGGTTCCAACCCGGCGAAGATGGAACCCCAGAAAGATGTTGGGTTAAAAGTGATGTTCTCGCACGAAATGGTCTGACTTGCCCCATTTTCTTACAGCTTCGGTTTCGGATGTAGATTGTGGCGAACATGCTGCAAGTATATCCAAGTATTTTGTTTTTCATGGGGCATTTGTTCTAAGCAATCAGAACCCCAAGACATCCCAAGACTTTCTTTTTTCTGGATGTAGGCTTTCCAGGATGACATGTCACATGATTATGATCAATCCCTTCCCCCCAATAGTAAGCATCCCTCAGAAACCCTGGTTTTTTTCAGGTGATTTCCAACATATATTTGGGACCATACCATAGGAGTGTCGTATAGCCATGGTTTCATTGAAGGTTGGCGGGAGAACATACAGATTTAAGCAGATCACAATTGCGCCATGTCGTGAGAAATGACTTTCCTTGGGTTATATATACGTATATATATATATTATTTCCAAGGATGATATATAATATATACATATATGTTTTCTCCATCTTACCATCATTACTGTGATTGATCTATGTTTTACCCGATGAATTGAATGAAAATGAACCACCATCAACTTTCCATTGCTGTGTGCATATATGTATATACATACGTATACGTTTTCCACCCATGAAAAGGACAGAAAAAAAAAAACACGTTATGGGCGAACGTCTTGGTGAATCATGGATAATCATTTGTTACCTGGATAATCCACCTGCGCAAAATTATCGCTCGAAATCTGAAACAGCAATAATTATCGCCGGTTGCCTAAATGTTCGCCGTTTTCAGTTTTTTTCGCCGTTTCAGTTTCCACATTTTGGGCTCTTGAGTTTTTTCGCCGTTTGGTCGTTTTTTTTCGCTGTTTCGTTGGTTTTTTTTGCCATTTCAAAACCGGCAAACATTCAAAATGACAAACTGCCAAAGCTGTTCGGCAGAACAAGAATGCCGCCAGCAATAGTTATTCAATAATACCTTAAAAAACAATAAACATTGCATAATTACATGGGAAGATGCAGGTATGTTAAAATCATCATGTTTCTGCGTTTTATGTGTTAAACGGATCAATTTCTCTGCAGGACGCCATGGCGAAGCGGCACCTCGCAGGGATGCGTCCGAGCTCTAGCGCCTTGGTGTATGATGGTTTTCTTGCCAAGGGTTACTTTTTCATGGTTTTCTATTAACTAATAGTGGCTAATAGTGGTTAATAATGGTTGATGATGGATGGCAATGATTAATAGTTGTTAGTAGTGGTCAGTAATGGTTAATACCGGTTAATGATGGTATATAAAGGTTAATAATGATGGTATATAATGGTTTATGATGGTTGGTGATGGTTAATGATGGTTAATGATGGGTGAAGAAAAGTGTTATTTAACCCATTATTAGCCCATGTCAAGCCATAGAAATATATGGGTGAAGAATGGTTATAACCCATGTTAACCAATTAAAGAAGATATGGTGAATGATGGTTAACGATGGATCATACTGGCTAAACATGGTTAAGAGAGAGGTTCATAGTGGTTATATGGCTAAAACATGCTAAAACCCAACGGTAACTCAAAATGGATAACAGTAATGGTGATGGTGACAAATAATAGTTACTGGTTATTAATTATTGATTATTAGCATGTATTAATAAATAATAGCTCATACGGTTCATAAATGTTAATAATTGTTATTGCACGTGTCTTAATTACCATCATTGCAATTGTTGATTTAAAAAAGAACAACTTAATGTTTGGCAATCATGTTACGTTACCCTTTCAACAATGGTCATAACAATGATGGATATATTATTGAATAATACATTGTTAATGATCATTGCAATCGTCGTAAGTAATGGTCAATTATCAAACAAGGGAAAATGGTAATAGCCAATTGAACATACTGGTCTGAAATGATTGATTATTGATTAATATCTGTAAAAGCTAGTTGAACATATTGGGTGAGAATGGTACAGTATAATTATGATCATGATTTTGTATAACATCCAACCCAAAATACTATTGTAAAATACTGGACGTGACCCTTTTTTTTGTAATCTAGCACATCCATGGACCAGTGGCCGTCAGGAAAGCAATGAAACTATAGATGATGATGATTTACCATCATATATTGTCATTGTTCCATCATTTTCCATCATTTACCATATGGTCATTTACCATCATTTACCATCATTTACCATCATTTACCATCATTTATACTATAATATGTCCAGGGTCATGTTTCCATCATTTTCCATGGCAAACTGTTGGATTACCATTTCGGGTACCTACCGGGCGGGTGAAGTTCGATTCGGGATGGGCTGTTTTCAGAGAGGTTAACCTGCCCACCCGACAACCGAAAATTTCGGCATGGCCGACGAATGGCACAATGCGGAAGCCGTTTTGTTTTCAAGCCATCCAGAACTATCGATCTGGAGGCTTCTCAAAAATATTGGTGCACAGTTTCACTTAAACCAGAACATACCAGAACTTGGGGGTTCTCGATCTCACATTGGGATTGGGTAACGTGGACGATGGTGAAAAAGGGTTTACATGGGTGTACCAGTGTACCACATCGCCAAACATTGATAGCAAAATGAACTCAACAATGCACACATACTGGAATAAGGGATCAAAACCCGAAAGCAGGGGGTTGAATCGCTAAAACCAACATTTTGACAGGAGTTAGTAAGCAACTAAACTGGTGATTTCATCACAAGAACTGGTTTCAATAGGGTTTGACCAAAAAATTGTGGTTTTACGTTTGCTAACAAAGGATATATGGATATGTCGTCAGAAAAGATTAGGACGGAGTCGGCAAATAGTGCTTTCATTGAACCAGAAGTATGTTGATTGAACCCAAAAAAACAACTTACCAGACAAATGGTAGTCTGTGCGGACACCATAGGATTTTTTGGCACACGACAAAGGAATGGGGAAGGGGAAGGCATGTTTTGTTAGTTGATAGTTTTATTCTATTTTTCCATATTTTGGGAATAATCACCCCAACTGACTTTCATATTTTTCAGAGGGGTAGGTCAACCACCAACCAGTCATTCTTAACCATCATTAATCATCATTAACCATCATTAAATCACCATTAGACACCATTAAATCACCATTAAATCACCATTTAACAAAAACGCCAAGCCAGCAAGTGGCCCAAGCTGGCGTGAGCCACAATCCACATGCCGTGAGATTTTTTCGGCAGGCAACATGGTCAAATTCAATTCTGACGGTGACGATGCACCGCCGGGACTTCCCAGTGCTGGTGTCAGTTGGTGAGTTATCGTGTTGGTGACCTTTGGATTGGTAAATATCAAGGTAAATCATGTATAATCTTTAAATATTATAAATCATTTATAGAATTATAAACTGGTTGGTGGTTTGGAACATTTTTATTTTTCCATATGTTGGGCAGAATCACCCCACTGACGAATATTTTTCAGAGGGGTTGAAACCACCAACCAGATATATAAATCATTTATAAATCATTTACTGTAAACCTGGTACGTTACCACAATTTACCTATAAACAATGGTGTTTGCGAGCTGGAAAAAAAATACCACACAATGATAGTTTTATGATCGAACACAATGGGCAATTTATACCATATAGAAAACTGTTAAATCTAGATCCGTATGATTGGTGGCTAGTTGTATCCTTGGATCTGGTTATTATATATGTTTTCCCATGTGCAGATTATACAGGGGTTTGACTCAAAACGGGAGGGTGCCCTTTATTTTCAATGCTCTGAACAAAAATGTGAACGTGATTTTCTTAACCGTCGGAGGATTGGCGCATATTGGCGCTTTCCTCCTAGATCAAACATGGCCATGGGACGTGTCCAGGATGAATCAGACAACCACAGGAAAAATCCTTGAAATGGATCTGAGGTGTATAAATCAGCATTTGCTTTAAATCACTGATATCTGCGGGACCCCCACGGCAATAAACTGACATATGGAAATCCTTAGTTTTCCTGTGAATGTACTACAAGCAGCAGATTGTCCTATGCACATGTGGCGACGCATACACATACTCATGCAGTTACGGTCTGAAATACAACTTACAAATACTAAGAAACACCATTTATAATCCGTATATATCATTCTATATCTGTATAGTCCCATAGAAATAACCAGTTATAACTAATAAATGGCCTTAACATCGCGGCATCGCCAGGGGCCAAGCCGCAAGACCTACGACCTCATCCCCGCGGCGCACCACCAACAACGTTACTTAACGGGCCCCCGGGGAACAACGCCGTTTTTTCGTTCAGTTGGTGCGTGCGTTTATGATACTCCAATAACTATATGATCTATATGGTGTATGATACGCAAATAACTATATGATACTATCGGTTATAGGGGTTTATAAAGCAACAAACATAACTGGGGGCCCCACATTATAGTTATGGTGAAACAATGTGAAACATATCCAGGTACTAGTGGAACATAGTGGAACTGCACTCCCAAACAAACGCAAAATGTTTTGGATTTAACCTTTAAACGTCATCATGCGTCAAAATGGGGATGAGGGCTGCAAGCTTCATGGGAAAATCATGGAACTGAATAGAGATGTTTCATGATGTTTCCCTATGTTTGACTAGCGGACGCTACTCTTCTCCTAACTTTTGGGTGATTTGAGGGAACGGAACGTGAGTTCACCTGCCATGTGAAATTGACATGTTTTTTTTCTCCGGCTAAGACTGAGATTTCGCCATTGGGGATGGAAAGTTGTGATTCAACTACTTTAAATTATCCATCCAGAGCTGAAACATCAATTTTTCCTTCGCCACCATGTTTTCTCATCGATTCAAAGTCTGGTGCGCAAAAACCATCCCTGTGAAGTTCGTATGGGTTCCCAGCGATGATTTGAGATGCTGCCCATGGATAAAGGCAGGAAACCAGGACACCATCATTTGTTTTCACAAAAACAATGATGTGTTAAAAAAACATAGAGAGAGTAATTCAAACTGTTTGTTTGGGTGGGGTCATTTCTTTCTTCGCCTTTTGGCAATGGCAGCAATTCATGGATACCAGTCGAGAAGTGCCACCCCGGGTCACCAATGTGATTGGAAAAAGACCTTGATTCCGTGGGGTTATGTTTTTGCGTCTGCCAAAGTGGCAGTTTCTTTCAGGTGTTTCAGGGAAAGGTTTTGCTCAGCTCATTGTTTTAGCATGTTGTTTGTTCATGGCAAACACCTACAAGGTGGTGCCCTCCCCGTTGTACATGGGTTATAATCCCATTAACTATAGATATATCACCTATAAACCATAGTTATTGGACTTATAAACTAACTTGGCTAACGAACTGGGGCACCACCCTGTATGAATTCCTTGGGATTTTCCCCACTTTTCAGCGCTGTTTCGCCCATGGTCTTAGGCTTGGCACGATGTCATGGAGATGTGTCGAAAGGTCTTCACCTCCAAGATGAACAGCAGCTGGGCTCAAAAGTCTTGTGGGGGTGTTTATAAATGGGGGTACACCAAATGGATGGTTTATTTCATGGGAAATCCATCTAAAAATGGATGATGACTGGGGTACCCCCATTTCAGGAAACCTCCGAAAAATACTTTGTTGGTGAATAGGGTGCCCCAAATTTTGATAAAGATTCTGATGATTCAGAATCAAAAAATCCGATTTTTCTTGCGAGCCTTGGAATCGGATCGCCCTTTCCACATGTTCAAACATGTTCAAACACGGCCATCTCCACCCTAAATATCGGATGGTCTTCGACCATAAGATGAACGTTGGCAGTTGGGCCCCAGTTTTGGCGACGTCAGGATGTCACTTCTGCCAGGTGTTGGGACTGAAATCCTGCAAGATGTTGGGAAGCCTGGTGCAATGTGCAAGTGACAATCTTGAGATACCCTTTGGTAAACTACACAGCTACGGGAAAGTACCACTTTTGATAGGTAAATGATTTATACATGCTCCATATTCCAAAGCTATGTTGGTTTAGCATGGTTTAGCGGAGGTTAGAGCGTTCATTTCTTGAGGGTGCTGATGATTTTGCCATTGTATTCTTCTCGCTTCAGTCAAAGGCACAGGGATGCAGAGCCGCGGATGTAGTTTCGCGTTTTTCTTCATTCGTCATTGTGTGAAACCAATCACCCTGTGGCTATGGAATAGTGGTGAGACCCTTCAAGGGTGTAATTATCAACAAATGACCATCATTGAAGCACTGGGGGGAGAACATCAACATACATCAACCAACATTTGCTCCTCTGAAGTGCCAATCTATTTTGCTCAAGTTTAACAAATAGAGGGGGTTGGTACCCCAAACCATGGGTACCCCAAACCATTGCCGCATTCCCATTGATACTAACCAAGTTTGGCTGATTTTAGGGTACCCCCATTTTAGCAAACCTGCCAACTGTTCTGTTTCAACTCCTCGGTGTTCGTTTCAACACCCTGGGGGATTGCGAACAATCCAGGTGAGGCAAGAGATGCAGCACGGGATGAACGCTCTGAAACAAGAGATCTTCAAGATGTTGGAGGCTAGGCTTTGGTGTCAGCTGAGTCAGCTGATTGCGAATTTTCATGAAATTTCATGGGGAAATGGACATGGGTCATTTTTAGGGAAGGCTATGTTGGCAATGATTCTACAACTTACCCTCTGGTTATCTAACAGTTTGCTATGGAACAAGTTAGCCTAGCCATGGAAAATGGCCCATGCATAGATGATTTATGATGGGTTACGTATCAAAAAGTGGTGCTTTTCCACAGCTACGTCCACGTTAAAGTACCAGAGGGATTACCCTTTGGTGAAATTGGCCACGGCTGTCGGGCTTCACACCCTCTGAGAAGGGCATTTCAGAAATGTACCAAATGGTATTAAAAGAAATACCATCACGGGGAATCCCATGGTAATTTCCAAAGGTTACCAAAGGTTACCAAAATACTATAGGGGAATCCATGGTAATGGCATCCCAAAAGAAGTTGAGATCTCCGGTGGTCCTGGGATCAAAGTGAAAGAATCCTGTTTTTTTTTGCCCGGGAAATGTTACAGTAATGACAAATATTGTAAAGTTTAAATGATGTTAAATGGGTTGTATCTTAGTTTTAACATGTTTTAATCTGGTTGAACTCTTTTCTAGTATCGTTGATAACTCAGTGAAGGTTTCGCGATCCCAAACGGATACACACCGACATGACACACCAAATCGATGACAGAGGAACAATAACAGAAAATTGCAGGTGCTTTCGCACTGTTTTGTGTTGCTTCCTTAGGTTACCAGACTGGCTAATGTACTAAACTTTAGTCAAACTGTTGATATCTCCGTGGCTTTCCACAGTGGCAGGAGCGCGAGCAATCCAGTGGAACACGAATGCAGCGCCTCGGTCGATGCATTTTGCCACGGTCCGGTGGAAACATTTTCGCGCATCAGCGATTTTTCCCAAGATGCTTGATCAATATAATGTGGTAAAAAAAAAAACATGGTAACGCCAATGAATAAACCTCCGATAAAATCGAAGGTTTATATGACCCGTTTCTGGTGAACTTGAATGGTTTCAAACTTGTTCGTTTTGCCACTTTATATTCGATGAAATGGCTTATTTATGCCAAATGTGACGAAACAAAGATCAATACACCTGCTAACAGGGACAGTAGAGATGCTTGCTTGCTGGTAAATGACAATGCAATATGAATGGGCCTAATTATATGAAGAAAACATGCCCATGAAGACCTATGTATTTGCGTGTTTGTCTACGTTGAAACAAAATATGTAGATGGCTTGGTCGATAGACAGACAGATAGGTGGATACAGCAATATAGAATGATAGACAGACAGAGATGCAGGTGGAGTCATAGGTCGAGTTTCAACTGCAGATGACACGAAAGTATATTCATAGTTAAAGATCCCAACTATATAATTGACTTGAACAGCAAGTTAACTTATCTGGTTGGTGGTTTGGAACATGAATTTCATTTTCCCATATCTTGGGAATTTCATAATCCCAACTGACGAGCATATTTTTCAGAGGAGTTGAAACCACCAACCAGTTATTGAACCACTTGGCAGCAAGATACTCGGCTCCATCCCAGGTCTCTGATGGGCAACATCGACAAGCTGCGGCAGTTTGGAGTTCCCAGTTTTTTTTTTAAATATAACACGGTAATACATGCCATAAATGGTTGTTTCTTAAAAGGGTCATCTCCAAAAACCGTAGTTGTTTCAATACTAAGTCATGGTCTGGGATTTTGGATGATTTGGGGGGATACCGCACAGAAAAAAAGACCTCAATACTTTACTTCATGATGTCATGATGTGCACATCCAAGTAATCCCTAAAAGATGACCTCGGAGTGCGATGAATTTCCAGTTGGACATGGGCAATTCTTGGTGCTTGCGGTCGCCTTTTTTCGATGCCTGGGGCTGATGGGCATCACTCCCAGGCTTCCCCAAAAGTGCCTTGCCTTTTTCGTTTGTAAACGGGGATGCATATTTGTATATATATATATTTATTTATATATACATGTGTGTGTGTTTGCATATATACATGGAAAAAATACAGTATACAGTATATACTATATATATATGTGTGTGTATGCGCATTCCTACATTGCAGCTGTCCTACATTGGAACCGGGATTGTTGCTCCGCAATTTGAACGGGCGCGTTTTCCAGGAGCACGGAGGAAGGTGTGATGAACATTCAACTTGATCTAAGTCCTGCGATCAAGGCGCTTGCGAAAGTTACGGCGTGGCGCTTGCTGCGTTTTTTGGACCAAAAAAAAGGCCTCCCAAATCATGGAGAATCTGAAGCGGCATTGATGTGCATAATCCTATCTCCCTAACACCAGAGCAAGGAAACCAACTTCATTTTGTGGGGGTATTCTTAGGATCTTGGAATGGGTCTATCCTTTTAGCTTGAAACTTTCTCCAAGGCTTTTCCTTTTTGGAAATTTGGCATTCTCCAAGCCCATACTGCAAGTACGAGATATTCTGCGTGCACGGGGATGACTGGTTTTGATCTGGAGAATATTTTTACCAGTTTTGTTTTGTTCTGAGTTCTGTTGGTCCGCTGTTGTTCGTGTTTGTCAGTCATTTTCCACACCCTTGGAAGGATAAGCAGATCCCTAATGCCCTAGGTCTGCATGTAACTTGAAAGGCAGCTTATAATATCACCTTTTTGCAGTGAGGAGTTCAACTACTCCCAATCTTGGTGACCCACCCCAATAAGGAAATATGCAATTCAATCAACGACAACAAACCACGGGAACCCGGGCTCAATGCGGGTTGGCCAATGGTTGGGTAAGTCCCCATGGTGCAAACCCAGTGAGGGTTGGCGTCAGGAAATGCAAAGGCTTGATCGTCAGCAGTCAGAGGCATTGGCGACTGGCGAGGGTCATGTCACAAAGTCTTTGGGATGGCTGCAACATTCAACATTACCCTCTGGTAAACATACAAAAAGCTTTGAAAATGGTGATTTTTCCATAGTTACGTTAGTTTACCAGAGGATAAATATAGAGTTGCTATAGCAAGATGATTTTCTATTTCTGAGGTGTGGCCTGTTTAAATTACTGAAATTAGTTCCTTGTTCTTCGGCATTGATGGGAACCCCAGTCGAAGGTTGGCACGATGTTGAACATCAAGCCTGCACCCGATGATCAGCCTATGTCAGATTTTATGTTTGTTCACCTTAAAAAACTGCAGTCAGTAACCCTTTAAAAAGTAGAGGTCCTTCACAGACTTTGATTCACAGATACCTCTCCCATGGGCATCATTTTTCAATATACAAAATATCCTTCCATCAGCCCCTTAGCCCCTGAAACTGTTCACTTTTCTTGGTTAAATCTTGTTTGTGTCGATAAATTCCATTTTTTGTTGGCTGAACTATGCTTAAATCACCATTTCTCCATAGTTTTTTCCCACATTTTTCGTCATTTTTTGCGGCTTAAATGTACCATGTCTCCATAGGCTGGGAATACCAGGCGCGCATGAAGCTGGAAGAACAGCTTGAGAAGATGTCCCAGCAGCTCTCGCAGGTGTGAAGCGGTGATAGAAACCATGGGATCTAATGGAGATTGAACTAACCATTCAAAATAGGAGGTTAAGATGGTTTAAGAGAGGATGATCATGTATGCATTATAAGTATTATATATACTGTGTATACATGTGTATATGTATATATATAGTTTTTAATGGTGAAATCAGGGATTATACATGATAACGGTGAAATAATGGGTGTTTGACACAAGGGGTGAAATAGAATGATATATATATATATTTATAAATACTTTGATTTCTTTGACCTGAAAATGATGGGAAAAAAACATGGCTTAGCTGATGGTTTAGAAGATTCTATTGCCATGTCTTGATGACTCAGGTGCTTCTGTGCGTCTCTGCAGGGACATTGGATGATTTTACTCGTACCAGTTTCTTTTTTTGCAGATAGTCATTGGATTGGTTTGAGGGAAAATTGAAGCCGGAAACCATGGTTTTTCCCCTTAAAGATGGGGCTTTCTGGTGAACATTTTCCCGACTTTGGAGCAATGGATGTTTACCTGATTTAATCCCATGGTGAGATTTTCCCTCAACTCATGGGGCTTTCTGGCAGCTGGTTGGTGCGACATCACTGCGACCTCACTGGAATGATGGTGAATGTATGGGGTAGCGAACGCCAAATGACCTTATTTCAAGTTCGTGAATTATTACAATTTACCGAGAACAATGAAAAACATGGAGGTTAAGATTGTTTAACCAATGCGTATATAATGGTGTTAATGGGATATCAAGGAGTAATAATGTGAATAATATGTTGTTTAACAAACTAGAATGGGTTTGATGTGTATATATATATATATATATACAAGGCAAGTTATTCCCAGTAAATTAGCACAATCCATTGGCCTCCCGGTTTCCCATATAAAATGTAGATTTTCCATATCTATGTCAGTTTAATACAGAAGTTTACTGGATGGTACATCATTAATGTTGGTTAATGTTCCAGTTTCATCCATGCTGGATCTATCTGGATCCGTTTGAGGTTTTACCCTCCTTCCTGTTCATAAACCACAATTTGGGAATGGGGTTTTGTGGGTTGCAACGGTTGCAACTCATGACGAAGTTAACCATCCAAATAGTCTTGTATATCTAATTACTCCAGGGTCATGGAGGGAATCATACACTATATCAATATCTACATATATATATATATATATATCATATCATGTATGATTTACACATACTTATGATAATAACGCATAGTTCGAATCTTACATGGCATGGTACCTTGCAAATGATGACCGTTTCACGAGGGATGTCCGTTGCCACCGGGTACCTCAAGGTGGCTGGGTACCAAGGAGAATGCCCCAATGAAAAACCGCAGATTTGGATGGGAAAATCCACAGTTTCTGTGACATGTTTTTTTACCATATATGGTCGGTGGTTTAGAACCATGGAATTTTATGATTTTCCATCTATTGGGAATGTCATCATCCCAACTGACGAACTCCATCATTTTTCAGAGGGGTTGAAGCCACCAACCAGATATGTTTTATCAGGTTTTCCTGTACATTTTCCTTTGGACCCCACCATTGATCGTAGCTTTAGCCGTTAGCCCTAATCATAGCAGCTGTCCGCCCTGGAGGTACATATTCGCGCAGACCTCGAGGAGGACGAGATCACGAGTTCGCTGGATGGCTGTGATGGCACGGATGATGAGGGGTATGTTCACTGGCTTGGTTCAAAGAAAACCGAGAGAAAAACATGGTTTCCCTCCATCAAATATGGGGGTTCCTGATTCCTGTCAATGTTTACCTTAAACCTACTGAATGATACAGTATCTCCATGACAGATGCAAAAACATTGTGATATCAATATCATTCGAACAGGTTCTAATCATAAACCAGTTTGACCTGCAAAAGAGATGAACAGCGATATTTTAAGCCATGCATGATGCTTGTCCATTGCTGGCTTAGTTGGCTGAACAACTTACCTTTTAAGTTTCCCCAGAGAATCCCCCGATAGTTCCCCATCTTGGCGAAAGCAGCTCCCATGCCATCGCCAGCCGAAACGTGGCCAGGAGAAGCTGCAAAAGATGGAAACAAAGCAGGATCACGCAGAAACTTGGAACAAATTGGCTAACAGGTGTTATCAAACATGGTTTGCTGGAAAACCCACCAATTTTCATTAGATTTTTTTTTTCCCCAGCTATTAAACCATGGGGATTTACCATTGACACGCTTAAGTACCAGAAGATGCAGGATGTAGACCTTAACATGTGATTTCTTCAGCAACTTTATGGGAATAGAACCGGATACCTATTCTAACATTACATAACATAGCTGAGCATAGCTGTGTCCGAAAACAGGGATGCCCATCAAATGGCAATTTCCAAAGGGAAAATGATGATAAACCATGGGATTTTTGGCGTGCTCCATTTTCAGACAAGCCAAGATAGTGCTGTACGTTGAGCAAAGTTTAGTTTCCATAAATGCCCAGCGGTGGGTGATGCTTTGTCCTCAGAGATTTGAGGTGTAACTGGGTCACCAGAAGCGATGGTTAGTGGGGGGAGTATTCCAATAATTGCGTGTTTCCTGTCATTGATAATTATTTGCCCAGATTCATCTACAAAGTTTCTCAACGTATCTAAGGTCGCAAAGGCTGCTATAGCTTGTTGATTCTGTTGACTGATTGTTTGCGGTCTTTCGATGACCTTCATGACTTTTCTTATGCTGGCAGCTTGGCTTGACCCTATAAAATGGCTAGTGCACAGGGAGCTTGGCATTTCCCCCATCCAGCATTAGAATCACGTCCATTGCTGGATGTTCACAGTTTTTGTTGGTACCCTCTGGTAATGACTAACATTAACATAGCTATGGAAAATCACTATTTTATAGCTGGGTAAATCCACTATTTCCATGGTCACTTTCAATAGCTATTTTGACATAACCAGAGGGTAACCCACAAGTGCTATTCTCAGTCTTGCCAACCGGGTCCAGCTTTCTTCAGTAGCTGATAGGACTTTGACTTTGTTGTTTTAATTCCTTGGGCGCCCAAACAGCCCAAACTAGTTCAATTGTGCGGCAAACTCAGCGGATTTCGATAAAATACCCAGATTTGGTTTGTCAAACCACCTAAGCTTCGCTTCGCTTCAATCAATCCATGTTTGGTGCACGTTTGGTCGTTCAATCTTCGCTTTGTTTAGAACGAGTCACGTTCCCCGTAGGTATACCTTTAGGACATTTAGGCCACCCTTTGCTCATGCAACATGACTTGCTGGATCTTGCTGGAAAATCCACAAGAATAAACCTTCATTTTTGCTGGGGATTTCCCCAGCTAGCCATGGTTGATTAATCATGTCAACCCACCTGATAATCCTCTATATTTTGAAGATGTCTGATGGTTAAATCATGTTAAATCCCACATTTTGAACTCCAATCCCTAGGTAAACCCCCCATCCATGATGCCTACCAAGGAGCACCTTCACAGTGGTGTACGGGGGCCCTGCTTCAATAAAGGCACTTTTTAATGGTACATACTGATACTTCATGGATAGCCAAGACTAACACACTTTTCTGATATCGGTTGGTTTCAAAAATGATGTACAGTGTTTTTTTGTTTAATGCTAAATGATATATAGACTCAGGTGCTCCAGAATCAGCTAATCATTATTTTTTATTCCCAGCAAATCTGACTGCTAGTAGTTACAACCTATGATTATATAAAAATCAGACGTAGTATCCGGGAACAAATGATATGTAACACATATGTATTACATATGTAGTACGTATACGTATACGTATACGTATACGTATACGTATACATACACATACATACATACATACATACATTTGTCTTAGACAATGGACATATACTGTACGCATACATTAGATGTATATATATATTATCTATTTATTTATATTAATGTGATAAAACCCAATAAAACTTACCATTTGTGGATGGTTTGTACCGCAGATTGCCACCCATGAAAAGATGGTGATTTGGGCGGGTGTTTCAGGGCATTGGGCGTGCCACATTAGAGTATACTGATAGTTATGTGTGTGTTTATGAATAGTATAACTATTTACAATAGAATATATGGCTATCTATATTGATACCCATATGTATATAGATTAAAATGGAATATATATATATATATATAATATGTATATACATCGTATGCCATATACATCCATGTAAATGCATATATTATACCATATACATCCATATACATCTACATCTACATATATATATACACACTAGAATATGTACGAATGAAAGCCCAGCTTTTCGCAACTGCCCAGGTCCAGAAAGGCCAGGACATGCTGCTGGTGTCTCTGGAAAGCGTTTCCGACGAGGTGCAGCTGACCGGCGCAGTTTGCGGCGCCTGGCGTTTCCCGGTCAGGTCATGAAAAGTGAGGTGATCGCCTCTGAGAATACCCATATGCTCCATGGTGCTGGTATATATTTACCTACAAAACTGAGTGATTTTGTTCGGGTAAATGTTGTTATTCATATTCCATATTTGGAGCATTTGGGATACAAAAACCTATCTGATTGGTGGTTTGGAACATGATTTTTATTTTTCTATATACTAGGGAATAATCATCCCAACTGATTAATATTTTTCAGAGAGGTTGAAACCACCGACCAGAAAAAGCTATTGAAAGTTGCCATTTAGGATATGTCATGGGATATTCTTTCTACATCTTCCTACCAATTTGTTACTTAGGATTAGGATATTGAACATGGCCATTTGTAGTTGATTTATGTTGATTTACCCAGCTATAAAATTGTGATTTCCCATAGTTGTGTGACAGTTTACCAGCGGGTAGATAAAGATTGGTATGTATATAACATGGTATAGCAGTACTACACAGTACAGCTGTATATCAATATCACAACATCACGATGACTATGAAACTATATATTATATAACCATACATTATACATATATAGCCATATGTACAGGACATATATGTATAGTATAGCTGAGCTCAGCTCACATGTAGTGCGCCTATCAATTGTCCTCGGCGCCCAACAGAATCCAAAATATCTAAGATCTATGGCCATCTCTGATTAAAACCCCACCGACCAGTTTTATCACAAGCCCACGTCCCAGCATAAATCGATCTGTTCCCAACCATTACCCTTTGGTAAACTAACATAACTATGGAAAATCACCATCTTTGATGGGTAAATCAAATATAAATGGCCATTTTCAATAGCTTTTTTGTATGTTTACCAGAGGGTACCCAGCTGCAGGGTCGGCATTCTGGCCGCAACAAGTTTGTTGTATCTCATGATGTCTCCCCCCGGCCCCACCATTTTCCATCAGACTTCGCGCTCTCGTCAGCGCGCAGAAGAGGTGCCACGGGTGGAGAAATGTGTGTTGAGTTTAGGACGTTTAGACACCAGGACATTGATTTTTACCTTGAAGAAATCTGGATCTTTTATGATCTTTTGATGTGTTCCTGAATTCGATGATGCAGTTTTCTCTTGCAGGCAAGATCAAGGTGTCAAGCCTCTGAAACTGGTCCAGTTTGCGACATCTAAAAAACATCCCCCGGACCGATCCGGACCCTCGCCTTCCAGATTGGGATTGCAGGAAACACCTATACTTCATACTTGATGGTAAAAACTCAAAATGTTTCTTTCCCTGTAGATTTAGTAGATTTTCCTGTAGATTTTCCCTTAAACCTTAATTGATCTTAGCATTTCTTCCATGGATTTCAGAGATGCTCAAGGCTTTATATGTTTTCCGCTGGTGGCAGGAACATTCCGAGTTAGTCAAGATTTCTCATCACTTAGGTTGGTCAGGGGCTTAGTTGGCCCGATGATCGGCCTTAGGGCCCTAGTTCTCGGCCCTGAATTTGAAACGCGACTTGGAGGATTTTGGAGGATCTGGTTTCAAGGCGACTATGCAACTGTTGTTGCTCGAGAGATTTGTTGGCGAGACTATAGTTCTGACCTGTTCTGACATGAATATGAACCCTCCTATGTAGAGTCGGAGGAAATTACATGTTCATTTGGTCAAAACATTGTCCTAATATTGACTACTATAATAATAATTATATCAGATCTCAATTGAAGTAACTAGATTTCTTGGATCAACATTTATCTTAGTTGAAAGAGGTTGAATTCCCGCGGTAGAGATTTGGTGCTCAGGCAATTCCAACAACGACTCCAGGTCGTCCTGGGGGTCAGGGCTGGTAAACTAACATGACTATGGAAATTCACCATGTTTAAGTTCGGTAAATCAACGATCTAAATGGCCATGTTCAATAGCTTTTGTTGTATGTTTACCAGAGGGTAGTCTCAGAACTTCGAGTTTTGCAGGGTAAAGTTGGGAAAGACAGTGTAAAGATCCATGAAATGATTAGGGATGAGTCTCGATGGTCGGGCTTTTAGCACGTAAAACTAGGCGAGATTGCACAATGAGATGAAATGGTGCCCCCCTTGTAAACCAGATGGATTGTAAACCATCAAACTCTCCTAGAGATATGTTCCCCTTCAACTCAACAGTTTAGCAGTCGAGCTAGTTGGCTGAATTTTCAATCAAAATTCGCTAAGTATAGGGCACCATCGCTAAGTAGGGGGGTTGTCACACACCCTGATGACTTTTCACCTTGGTGGGCAAGGTCCTTTTTGTGCCATGACAATCTCGTGGCTTGTCTTTGTTATTAGCAATCTCGTGGCTAGTTTTCAACCCTTTTCAAACACAAAAAGCAGAAACATTTTTGGAAACGTGGGATTCTGACATTCCCATGACCATGGTGATTTATGATTTAGCGAGCAAAGGTGTGGGTAAACCATGGTAAGCCAGCCCCGCTTAGCATCAGCAGGAGCCACTCCTGGTAGATTGGAGCGAAATGGTGCGTGAGATCAAGAAGAACCATTCTGTGCCCTGGGAAGGGATGTTTACCCAAACTGCTAGAAATGAACCCGTTTTTAATCCGAAAATAATCTACAAATGGGTAATTTTCCATGGCTATGTCAAATAACCGGTAGTGCTTGGCTTGCTATGGATGTTTACTGCTTGTCATAGCCACCTAAAGATGCGCCACACGGGAAATCATATGAACAATTTGGATGCGTTAAACCTTCTATATACGTTTCGTATTATCTGGTGAGATGTGCCGGGAGGTAAGGAGGTATGGTTGAATATGGTTGCATCCATATCCCCAAGAAAGGGGAGCTAAGAATGGCTACAAATTGAGTTTCCCAATCACCACGGATAGTTGGACCAGGAATCTGGGGTGAAGCAAGAATCTTGACGGTGAGAGGATTTTTTGAAAGATCTGATCAACGTGTTTTTCCCAACACCAAGAAGCAGGGAGTTCAACCAGCTAAGAATACGGAAATTATATGGGCGGGATATATATATATAAGCTAGGCTTCAATCTGATATATCATTTTGACCGGTGTAAATTTGCATTTTGAACAGCAACTGATGGAGATGTTGAACAACAACATAATAATACTAAAGCAAACGCTGCAAAGGCTTGCAGATGCTAAACAGATGGAGATGTGATTCTGTTTGGTCTTGTGTTGTTGTGCGGCTCAATCTCGGCACATGACAGAGGTGTCGTGATACTTTAGTCAACTAGTCTTACAATGGGTCACATCCGCTACGAATACAAAAATCATCGCAAGAAGGCCTTCAAATTTACAGATGCAATTTGATGATAAGTGTGTGTGTGTGGCAACAACGTACCAGATGTTCAAAGCTGCATGCCGGCTCGGAAGGCTGCTTTTTGCAGAGCTAAATCCTTGTTCAAGCTGTGTTTGTTGACTCTCATTCTGACAAGGGCTCGCTGTCGGAGAGGGAACAGTGACCGTTTGCTCGCCTGCCTGCGTTCTCTGCCTGTTAGCTCCACATTTCTGCAGATCTACACCAGCCATAGTCAGTCAAGCTCAAGCATGCGCAGTTTGGGCAAAGAGACGGAAATCGATGAGAAAAGACTGTGGGATGCACATCGCCGATTTCAACTTGAGGAAGATATTCGCCGTGACTTTGGACCTGCTGCTGGTGGAGAAAATGCTTCCGGCAGTCTTTCAACTCAAAGAGAAAGAGCGACGAGATTGGCTGAGCACATCATCAGTGACCAGAAAATTCCCGCAGAAAGCTTCTTTTTCCAAGGCTCGTCTTCCCGAAGCACTTTCTTGACAGTTTCTCACTCTCAACTTTCCGACTTTGATGTCGTGTTGTTATGTGATCGCCAGTGGCTGCTTCAGAAACAAGCGGATTCCTTCAGGGACCTAGCCCAAGTGCTGCAAGAGCATGTTGTGTCCAACGTTTGTCGCAAGGACTTGCACTACACAGGCCTCAACCTTGACATACCTGAACACAAGTTCACCTTTGTAGAAGGCAGATGTGGAGTAGAGCTAAGAGTCTCAGTTGATCACCCGTGGTGCGAAGCTGAAGCCACTGATTTCGTACTTGCATACCGTGATGAGTCGCCTGGAAGTATTGTGGTCTTTGACCACTGGCGAAAGACCTGGCGCAGGAACAACCCAGTTCGCCTTGCTGCAAGTGTCAAGGAGGTGGAGGAGCAACAGCCCTACTATGGCATGGTGGTGCGGATGATCAAGGAGTGGAACCAGCATTGCCCTCGTATTCGGAAGGTTCGAACAGGCTCAGTCGTCGGCCAAGTGACGGTGCTGGACGATGAATTGCCGCCAGAATTCGGGGGCCCGGGGGAACTAATCGTCTTGCCCGGGTTTGAGGATATCAATCAAGCCTCTGAGTTGGTCCATCCGCCATCAAAGTTCAAGCCCCCCATGACAGGGCTTCATATCGAAATGGCCTTGTGTTTGCAGCACGATGGGTTTAAGGACACTTTCTGGGCAAAGCACCTGAATTCCAAAAAGAACCTCAAGACTCGGACAGAAGAAATGCTGGCGAAGGAGCCAGAAACGCCCTGTGCTATTGATCTGCTGGTTGGTGCCGTGGGGCACCTGATGACAACTCTCTCAGTGCCGATTTGGACACCAGGTGACGAAGCGTTTGCAAACGAAGCCATTCTGAAAGATGCAGAGCTTCGTCAACAGACCGAGGAATTGCTTCGTGATTTGTTACTTGAACTGCAGAAAGTTCAAAGAGAGCCGAACATACCAGATGCCACTGGTTTCTTGCGGTCCAGGCTCTTGCGACATCATGGACAATGGGATAATTATCATTGATTACCACAATCTTTCGCTGGACAAATTCAAGCCTAGCGTGGGCCCATGGAACAGCCGTGGAGCTTCAGATTTGGGAGGTTGAAGATGCATCTACCATCAGCTACCTACCCTCGATGAAATTACCTGTTAAAAGATGTTAAAAGCGGTGATTTGTCGTAACTTCATTAGCTCCCTGGTAATCAAACATGGCAACGGAAAAGGTGATTTTCCCTAGAAGAAACCTTCTGTTATAGGGAATTTCCTCAGCTTGGTGGAGGGCAACTCCATTAATCACCATTATTAGCCATTCATCACCATTAATATCCATCAATATCCATTAATCACCATTAATCACCACTAATATCCATTAATCACCATTAATCACCATTCATCACTACTACGAACCACTACTCGCCAGCAGCTTTTTCGCAAGGCAGTTTCCTCAGACTTCCGGATGGTGCTCAGCGAGATTGGCAAGATCCAGTCCTTGGGCGAGTCGCGTCGAAAGTTTCGAAAGATCAACATGGGGATGTTGTAATGAACATCATGTTTTTATAATGGTTAATACAGTTGTGGCCATTTATTGGTCGTAACTGGTTATTTCTATGGGATTATAGGGTTGTAAGATGTTGTAAGTACTTATAACTGGTATTTCGGGCCGTAACTGTAATGGTTGTTTTCAAGGGTGATATCCTACGGAAAACCGTTGCGATTCATGGTTTTCATAGTGGTCATGAAGGGGATGGTTAGTGATGATATGTCGTAAACCCCAAAAAGAAAGAACCGTAAACTGCTAGAGTTACTTAAAACTATCGTTTTTTTGGGGGAAAAAAAAGAGAGCTGGCCGCTGTGGGAGTGCACTTTTTTCCATGCAGTCATTACATTAATCATTATATTAGTCATTATATTAGTCATTATATAAGTCATTAAATAAATCATTATATGAATCATTATATGAATCATTATATGAATCATTATATGAATCATTCTATGAATCATTATATTAATCATCAAATGAATCATAAAATGAATCATCATTATATCAGTCATTAAATAATTCATTAATTTAATCATTTTATTAATCATTATATTAGTCATTATATATATATATCATTAAATTAATCATTATATTAGTCAATAAATTAACAAGTATATCAGCCATTACAAACATCATTATATTAATCATTATCTTAGTCATTATAAAAGTCATTAAATAAATCATGAAAGGAATCACTATATTTATCATTCTATGAATCATTATATTAATCATTATATGAATTATATTAGTCATTGCATTAGGCATTATATGAACCATTACATTAATCATTATATGAATCATGATAATAATCATGATATTAATCATTAAATTCTTCATTTTAATAATCATTAAATTAATCATTATATAAATCATTATATTCATCATGATATTGATCATTTTATTTATCATTTTATTAATCATTATTTTAGTCATTATATGAATTACTATTTTAATCATTATATTAATCAGTATATTAATCATTATATCAATCATTATACTAATCATTTTAACATTCATTATATTAGCCATTGTATTTATCATTATATTAGTCATTAAATTAATAATTATATTAATCATTATATTAATCATTTTATTAATCATTACATTACTCATTACATTACTCATTATATATAAACTCATTAAACTAGCCAGTATTTTACTCATGATATTATAATCATTGTATTCATCATAATAGTAATCATTATATTAATCATTCTTAAAATATAATCATGATACTAGTCATTATAAAAGTCATTAAATGAATCATGAAAAGAATAATTATATTTATCATTAAATGAATCATTATATTAATCATTTTATTAATCATTATATGAATCATGATATTAATCATTAAATTAGTCAATAAATTAACAAGTATATCAGCCATTACAAAAATCATTATATTTATCATTATCTTAGTCATTATAAAAGTCATTAAATAAATCATGAAAGGAATCACTATATTTATCATTATATGAATCATTATATTAATCATTATATGAATTATATTAGTCATTGCATTAGGCATTATATGAACCATTACATTAATCATTATATGAATCATGATAATAATCATGATATTAATCATTAAATTCTTCATTTTAATAATCATTAAATTAATCATTATATAAATCATTATATTCATCATGATATTGATCATTTTATTTATCATTTTATTAATCATTATATTAATCATTATATTAATCATTTTATTAGTCATTATATTCTTGAAAAAATAAGTCATTACATTAATCATTATATTAGTCATTATATAAGTCATTAATGAATTTTGGTTTTTCCATGGTTTTTTTTTGCAGTTTGGCCTGGGGGGCGCAGGTGTGCAAATTGTAGAGACGCGCATTTTTTTGAGAGGTACTGTGATGAAAGCATCTTCACATGAAAAACATTCAAAACAACAATGGAAAAAAAAAAAAAAAGTTCAGACCCATGGGCAAGGTCTGGGAGAGGCCTGGCAGGGGACATGGGTCTGAACTTTTTGTTTTCTTGGTTTTTCCATGGTTTTTTGCAGTTTGGCCAAAAACCTCGAGAACACAAAAAGAAAAGTTCAGACCCATGGGCAAGGTCTGGGCTATCCACACACAAACCAAAAAAACAAAAAAACAAAAAACCAAAAAACCAAAAAACCAAGAAACCAAAAAACCAAAAAACCAAAAAAAACAAAAAAACAAAAAAACCAAGATTGCACACCCCAAGGGGAGGGGGTCAGATGCAGAGTGTTGGGTCTTGTCTTTTTGTTTTTTTTGTTTTTTTTGGTTTTTTGGTTTTTTGTTTTTTTGGTTTTTTGGTTTGTGTGTGGATAGCCATTGCAGATGTGCCAAGCAGAAATTGCCAGGCACTGTCAGTGGTTGCACTAGAGGTCGGGCAGGCAAAAACCAAAAAACCAAAAAAACAAAAAACCAAGAAACCAAAAAACCAAAAAAACAAAAAACCAAAAAAACCAAAAAAAACAAAAAAAACAAAAAAACCAAGATTGCACACCACAAGGGGAAGGGGTCAGATGCAGAGTGTTGGGTCTTGTCTTTTTGTTTTTTTTGTTTTTTTTGGTTTTTTGGTTTTTTGTTTTTTTGTTTTTTTGGTTTTTTGGTTTGTGTGTGGATAGCCATTGCAGATGTGCCAAGCAGAGATTGCCAGGCACTGTCAGTGGTTGCACTAGAAGCAAGGTCGATACACTACAGTACAGCAATGTTTGCTATGACATAGTGCATTCAGCCAATGAACAGCAGAGAGGAATGGAATTCAATTTTGTCCGGTTGCGCCATATGCTGTTGGATCTTTGCACAGGAAATGCTGCAATTTGCGCACTCCCACAGTGGCCTGTTCTGAAAAAAAACCTGTAGATTATAACATGTTACAACATGTTAAAAACCTGGATCCTGTTGATTTTCTGAGAAAATGGAGGGAATTTTATACATGAAAAAATGGAATTGACCGACAGAAGGGATTCAACAAACACAAGCAGAATACAATGGGTACAAAGTGGAAATTGGTCTTGCTCATTCTTGGTATTTCCGTTGCTGTTCTTGTTTTTGGTACCCGCTGGTAAACAGTTTGCGAACTGGAAAATCGTCATTTTTAATGGGTAAATCAACTATAAATGGCCATTTTCAATAGCTATGTTAGTCATTACCAGAGGGTATCCTTCTTTACTGCTGGGAAATCCATGGACCCCCCAAAAAAATGTGAGTTCCAGGATTTTCCCTGGTTAAAGCTCTATTTAAAAGGGTTGTTTTCCAACTTAAACCATGTTTGATTACATGGATTATGGATGGTATTCCATCAGTCACAATTAATCACCATTGCTTACATATTTTTCTTACCCATATATATATATATAAATTACATAATCATTTTTATTGACCATGGTCAACCATGTTTAACAATTATTAACCACTTGATACCACTTGTTCCTCTTCGTAGTTCTCGTACTTCTTTTCAGTGCTGAGGCAAGCGTTGCATTTGGATTTTGCCTGAGGGCCCAGTGGGCCCATCATCGCCCAGCCAGTAACGGCAGGTCACATGGCCACAGAGTATACCGCATATATCTCAACTACAATTGGCTGGTGGTTGTTAGTAATTAATTTGCGTTCTATATAATATATATATATATGTGTGTGTGTTGGGGTAGGTAGATTCATTCATGTGACAGACCATGATTATAGACTTGCCCGCTTGCTCCATATTTAGCCAGACATAGAGAATATGACACCAGCTCAACATGTTTTTTTGCTGATTTTTACTGCAGAAACGCGTTTCAACAGCCTGCCATTTGTCCAGTGTACATATCCATGATCATGGGATACATCCAATGGCTGGCTGAAGCCCTCATAACGTTTGTACTCCACTCTGCGGCCGCCGCTGATTTACCCTGAAAAAGAGGAAGCAAATTATGGAATCACAATACACACAGGTTTTGGAAGATGTTCTTTGAGCGATGGAACTTGCAGCTTGGGGCCCCATAGGATTTGACAGCGGCCTCTCAAGAGGAACTATCCAGGAAATCAATGCGTCCATCTCGATGCGCCAAAGCGGCCAGCAAGATTTATTCAAGGCCATCAGATCTTCTAAGCCTTTTCCTGCGGGCAGTAAATAAACAACAAAGCACGTGGTCTAAGACTTGAAAACTCGTTGCTTACTGAAAGTCTTAGCGGAGAATCGTCACCATACATCACCATCATTCATTCCAGCGGGGAGCTGACGGAGTCGCGCCATGAGCAAAGATATCCGGAGCATCGTGCCCTTTGCGGTCGGGATCCTCTTCTTTGCCACCTGGCCCCAAGACGCCAACATCATAGGCCCACAATGGATATTTTTCTTCAGCGATTCCACTTCTAATCCTATTCCGTAAAAAAAAACACTCCCTCAATGGGACCACTACATCAAGAGATCCAATTCATTCCAGCAGGGTTTTCTTGGGGCTCATTGCTAGAGACGTATGCATTTCCATATTTGCCAGTGATGTCGAGGGAGCATTCAGAAGTTTGGGATGCTTGGAATTGACAGCACATAGCGAGCGTAAGGCCAGCGGGGCTATGGGTTTGGAATTTATTGAGTCAGGTGTTGTGACTTTGCTATGCAAGAGTCCTAAATAAATCCTGAAAAAAACAAAGACATTTGTCCCCGTGAGAAGTGAGAAGAATTTCTCTTCTTTGAGCCCCCTGTAGATGCGTCTAGAATATGTCTAGATCCAATAATAAGCCAGGACTACCATGGGCATTTGCTATTTGGGGCCGTGAAATTCAGCATGTTGGAAGCCCATCGATGCCCTGGCTTTCACCAAGGTGATTTATTTCACCGTTCTCTTGGTTCGTTTCGAGGACACCCTATTGGCTCCGCCCACCCAGCGGGTGGCGCGCGACGTCTCTGTGGTCAGATTACCACGGCTCTACTTTTGCCCCGCCAACCGCTTCAAGCAGGCCCGCATGATTTGGAGTTCTTATGAATGCTACCTTCATTTGCAAGAATCAATGGATTGGTTCATGGGAAATCTACCGGAAACCGTTGGATTTTACCGTGAAATATAGGGTGTTCCTATAAACTTTCCCTTGAACCAATCCAATGAAACAAAGGCAAGATTTTGCAGCTGTGTTTCATCGAGTTTGATGAATGACGCTGCTATTTTTGTTGGTTTTGGGGGGGTGCCCCATAAAAAATTTGATGTCTGAGACAGGCAACTGGGATCAACTGGGACAGCTACAACGCGTCTCATTGGATGGTTAACATATTTGCAAGCCCCAGGGCCATTTGATGGGAAGATGGGAACGGACCATCGTTTCTAAACTGAATCCCTCCTTATAATAGTAATATAATAGTACATACCACCCACCGCGAATGGCTGGTTTAGTGATGTCTGAATTGGGGTCCCTTGGTGTGAACATCGTCATTCAAATCATCAGAGGCCTCGACCGTGGCTGAGGTTCCCTGAGCTACAAACTGGAAAATGACCAGTGCAGCGCTCGGATCCAGCACTATGGTGGCGATGAGCCACAGGCATATCGCCCGGCATTGGAGATGGTCCAAGTACCATATCATTTTCTTGAAGGGTCTAGGCATATATGATATATTAGAATATAATGTTCAATCATAATTTTCACATATGTATTAATATATGATATTTCAATCATTTTCAATAATTTTCGATTGCAGATAAGCTGGGACTAGGCCCTTCTTTTATACGCATCCCTTGCCACAGGTTTTTCGGCATGGTGCCAACTGGTCTTCAGCCTGCCTGGAGTTTGGCACTCATCGAATCGGTGTGAAGCAGGAGCCTGACACTGGGCAGAATGCCCAGTTCGCTAAATCGTTGCTTTTTCATAGCTATGTTGGGCCACGTAGACGTTCCAAGAAACCTTCTGATAATGTTAAACAATAGCTATTGAAAATGGCTCATTTGTAAATATATAGTTGATTTTGCTATTAATATGGTGATTTTCTGTAGCTATCTTAGTTTACCAGAGGGGTATCGGTATATCGTGCTATATCCGTGCGTTTTCCCCTCTTGCCATTGATTTAAGGCTTATGAGAATGACATAAGTCCCCCAGAGGGGTTGCAATCCACTGGGATGTGCTCAGCAATTTTCTCAGCAAGGATCCCATCTGTGACTGGTAACTGGTGACAAGATGCTGCAAGTGCTTTTGATCCGCAAACTTTATGAAAGTTTATGTTAACATATGTTAACCAATGAGTGTAAATGGTGGTTTGGCTTGGTTTAATTAGTTTAATTGGTTTGGCTGATAGAAATCCCCCACATTGCCCCATCGTTTGGTTTTGATTCGTAGAAATTCCCCATTGTTTAGTGCCTTTCATCAGGGCATCCCGTGATTCCAAGCCACCGACCCGAGGCCCACCAGGCACTCATTGGTTGATTCCCAGCAACCCCAAAGAGCGGTTCGGACAACCAGAGCCCATATATCCCCAGCCAAAGTGTCGGAAGCCTGGAAACTATGAGGTAAAGATCATCTACTTTCTGTTAAACTTACAAAGCTATGGAAAATCACAATGTTTAACAGGTAAACCAACTATGAATGGTAATTTGTCAGTAACTATGTGAGTCTACCAGAGGGTTCCGCATGTTGAATTACTTTCTTCGAGTGATCCGCACCCTGAAACACTATTCTGACATAGTTTCTGACATATATTCTGATATTCTTTCTGGCATTCTATTTGGCATATATTCTTGACATTCTTTCTGGCATACATTCTGACATTCTTTTTGGCATTCAGTCCGGCATTCTGTCTGACATTACAACATTTTATCCGGCATTCTTCCTGACATTCCATCTGACATTCCAGGCGGATTCCACAGCATCTAGGGCTCGCATGGCTCGGATCCATTCAGGAAGGAGGTGAAGGTGAAGAAGGTGATGGCGAGGAAGGTGAGCAAGGGCGGTGGGCAAGGAGTTATGCAGTTATACCTTGGTTGAAATCTAGAGACCCTCACCTGGCAGGTGTGGAAAAAACACAACTATCTACATGGGAGTGTTGATCTTTACTTTAAATATCTTTAAATGCATCTGCGGTGCCAGGAGCACAGCGCAGCATGGAATGAGATTTCGCTGAAAGCAGCGTTTCTGCTTCCAGTCCATGGCTTGCTCGAGGACTCAGAGATCCGGAGGGGGCCAGCTGCACTTGAAAGTTATCATTTCTTTTGAAACTGCACATAACCATAGATTTTCCAAGGCTATCCGGCCACTCCATTTATATCAAGTGTGGGCTTTTAAGCGCGCTTCCCAGCCAGTCCGCCATGACAAAGCGATCTTCCCTGAGGATGTCTTCGAAGAGGTTGAGCTGGGGTATTTGCCAAGGGAGTGGGAAGTCGGTGACGCACCATCCACCATTGATCCTCAGCTTGGTCTGTAGATAAACTCGGACGGGTTTATCTTGGGTTTCTGGTGGGTTTATCTATCCCTCATCTGGAAGAGTTAGCACATGATATAGGGTGGACTTGACATTGTGTTTTTCTCAAGCTGATAAGGGTTGAAATTGGTTCATAGTAGCTCTCCACATTTTTGTGGGTATATGCGGGTATTCAAATCTATGCGCCTTCCCCTGTTCATACAAGAAACATGAATCCAAATGATCCTTCTATGAAATAAATACCTTCTTTGAGCGAAGACGGCCATACATGTGGCTGCAAACACACTACTGCAGAGATTGTGGCGGCTGAGGGCCAAAATCTTGAAGTTTGATGGCATGTGTTTATGATATTTAATAATTGACCTTTTTTTTGGCGGGTTAAACGTTATATATTTATTTTGTTTGGACCTCCGGCTTTCTGCGCAAGCTGAGCAGATGCAGCATCCAGAATCCAGCCTAACAATGTTGAGCAAGAGCCAGTAACATCCATCAGAGTCTACGGTTTGCATTTGACCTTGTGATTTTCTGATATCAAAATGCAATCAGACAAAAATATGAACCAATTTTTGCATAATGTATCACATCAAGCCCGTTTTTTACAATCAACCCAATTTGTTGTGCTTACAAAGTGGCCCCTAATTTTTGCACCATTGCGTCAGATGCGCCGGGGCCCTTTTACTTCCAACAATTTCACTGAAATGAGGTGTCAGATTACATCTCTTTTAAAGTGAAAGAGGAGAACATATCTTTGAGGGTCTAACACCTGACTCCCCTATGATGTCAACGTATTTTTAGGCTAAATTCTATGATGTTTAAATCTTGATGCCCTTGCACCTCCCAGCCGCATGTCTAAGCGTCTAAGGAGCACTACTATGCACCTCTGATCCGAGTGCCTCTCTTCAAACCCAGTAGCCTGTCGAAACCTAGCCCTGGCGTGGTCACACGCATGTACATGGCAGAGGAGGAAGATCATGGACGACATGAAGCTGGCGACTATTGGTATGTGCCTGGGATGGCCGATTTTTTTACGAAACAGTTGGGGAAAATTTGGGGACATGTTGGGGAAATCTTCAAAATGTTGGAGGATTGTTGGGCAAATCTTGCAAATAATGGGGACACCTTGGGGAGATGTTGGGAACTGGGGCAAGGTTTGATTGGATGATCCAACTGAAAGTAGCAAAATGCTGCCACTTGGCAACTGTGTCAAATCACAACCCACATCCCAGTTCTGGTTGGAACTCACCCAGTTACCCACCAGCTGTAACACTGTAGGCATTTATATAGTTCAGTGGGAGCATGGAATGATTGAAGTCTAGATTGTCTTGGTCCAAGATGTCCCTGTCATGAAGGCCGGTTACCCGTGGGAAAATTGAAAGAATAATCCTGATCTCTGAGATTGATTCAAACGTGGGGGCTTCCTATGCATCTCCCCAAATGAACATATCCAGTACTCAACAGTACTCAACTGGGGTTTGTGGAGGCTTGCTTGGGGTTTGTTTTGATAAAGAATGGACAAAGAGACAATCCCGTTGGGAGCTCAAATAACTATCATGGAACCATGCCCATTGGGTTTGGATGATGTTTTTTAATTGGACATGATATTGCTGGGGTTCCGCGCAACGAGTAGCTGAATTTCAGGTTTTTTGAGATTGAAACTGACTGATTACGCTGCATGTTTGCTTTGTTTCACTGAGCTGAAGGCTAGCTAGGGAATAATGTGGTCATCAGCTTGAAGCCTCGTGCGAGAGAAGAGTTCGCACATATATGACTAGACTGGAATACCTGTCAAGAGAAATCAAGCCGTTCTTTTGTGCGACGGGTGTTTGTGAGGTCACCATGGGAGATTCAAATTCATCCGTGTCAGGTTTGTGGCAAGCACATATGTCATACAACTATCATACCATGAACAAGCATCGGGGTTCAACGTGGCGTGATTTTCTCCGAAGGTCTATGGTACCAGCATCATCCCTGTTTCCAATGCCACCTGCATGCATGGGCCAGTGATGGTCTGTGGGCTGGTTGGGCCATGGATTTTACCAATTTTTACCATGTTGTCCAATTAAAACATATTAAAACAAGAAACAAATAAATTAAATAGATGATTTTGGAGGGTCTCCCTTTTTTTTTGCCAGAAATTCCCCCAGTTTTCTGGTGATTCTTTGAGATGATGGATGGCTTGATCCGGTGAAACGCCTGGTTTTTTCGGACTTTTTTGGTGTGCCAATTTTTTTCCATTCCGCCGCTAAGAGGAAGTCTCGCGCGGTCCAGCAAAAGGTGAATTCCTCACTGATGCCTCAAGCTCGCTGATAGTCTGGTAAGAAACTTGAACGAGCGAGGACTTCTGATTGCCTACGCATATGCTCCAGCCAGCGCGTTTCACTGTCTGAAAGCAACGCAGCATCCCGCACACCATCTTTGTGGATGCGTTCACGCAACCCGCTCAGAATGGCTACGACCATGCTGCGACACAATGCGCTGGGATACTCCTTTGCCTGGGCGGTACGATACTGTCCGGCAGCATCTTTGCCTTTAAGGCCTTGTGACGGTTTCACGCGCCACATTTCAGCACCAGAAAGCAAGGCGCGGCCAACAATGCACGGCTCTCCCAGGTTGATGGCTCGCAGGTTGGTGGGCTTAATGCCACGGGCACCGAAGAGCCATTGCTCGATCCTGTGTTGGCACGCTTGTGGAAGCTTCATGCACCATTGCTCATGACACGCCAGGCGCCAAACGGAGACCTTGTCTTCGTCATTCGGCTCCGCAGGGTGTTCCATAATGGTGCCACCTCCTTCACAAACGATTGTAGTTTCCAGCAGGAGCGAGTTCATCAGGAGTTCAGTGCCAGTGTCGCATTGTTGAAGCTCACGGCACGTGCGTTCTTGCAAACACCACGGAGTCAAAGCCGTCCTAAGCGGACGAGGACCTCGCTGGTGATCAAGCTGTAGGTTTCTGGCTGCCGAAAACGTCTCGCAGGGGGGCCCAGTGAGAGACCCAGCAACTGCGCCTTTTCGGGCCATGCCCAGGATCAACTCGTAGTTGCTCCCGTTGGACAAATCGCCGAAGGTCGTGTCAATGGCGGTGTCAACAGAGATCAGCAAAACCGGATACTCAGGGAGGATCTTGTCTGCGATGGCTCGAACCCACCAGTGGCAGTCACCAATTCGGTGTCTTCCGCTGAACAAATGCAGGATAACGATAACTGTGCGATCATTAACCCTACATAAAGGCACTTTACCGGAGGGTGGAAACATGAGATCACCTTCAAAAACATTGGCAAGAAAATGAATCTGCATGTTACACGGGTCTACAATTGGTTCCAGCGCCTTGTGCAAAGGCATCTGAGGGCTGTCGAACTCCAGCGGTTGGTACGCCAAGTCCATGCGACGTTGCCAGCTAACCAATCGTCCGATGTGGGAGTCCACCAAGAACTGCTGCAAAGCACTGTCCAAACGTTGAAAACCTTCTGCCTTCAAGCCAGGAAAGCGCGAGCACCTGAAAAAGTCCAGGATCCACAAACAGAAGACCCATTCTCCAACAACTCCTTGATCATCGGCAAACTGTGCACCATCTGCCAAATGAACCAAATCGAAAAAGATCTGTTCGACCATATCCCCGCTGGGTTGCTGCCAAGCATGAAGCACAGCATCAAACTCTGCAAACATGCGGTCTCGGAAGGGCAAATCAATTTCCTCAGGCAGCCCTTCTGCCTCCCAACATTGTTGAAGGACACGATCAGCATCTGCACGAGAAGTGATGTCAACTTCGGCTTGTGTCGGAGCTGTGTCAACTACCATCACTGGTTGCCGGTGAAAACGGGCTTCTGCTGGTAGTTCATCAATCGCTGGCGCAGTCATGGCTGGAAATCGCCTCCATGTCAATTGCTCGTAACAACCGTTCTTACGCTGACGACTGAAACGAAGATGCTGTTGAAGACGCTGAGAAGTCCAAAAACATCTGTGACATGCATCACAAGTCGTGGATCGCATCATTTGTCGTTCAGGAGAGATAACTTCATGTGCGATCCAGAGATGAACTTGAAGCTGATTCAGGGTACCAAACTGTTTGGCACAGAGTCGACATTCATGTGCAAGTACATCTCCTGGAGCTCGTCCATGAACCGGATCCGACTGCTTGAAGCAATGTTGCAGCCTCCAGTGTGCTTGAACAACTCGATGAACCATGTGCCCTTGTTGAAGAGCACGATGAAATAGTCGACGAACAAGTTTAGGACCAGAAACTCGATTGGTCGTCAGCCATGCAAAAATGTCTTCAACACCAACATGTTTGGGATCATCCAAGGAGATAGTCGAATCCATGCCTGCGAGCCACGACAAAGCATGTCGAAGTGCCGGAATCCAGGACAAAGCATGCGTGGAGGCTGCAGTCACCACATCAACAATGAGTGATGGACAGTCTTGCACCAAGTGAAATGCATAAAGAAGTCTCATCTTGGCCAAACGAAGTGATATCGATGGCAAACGCCAATGCATGAGTAGATGCTGATCTGAAAGCATATCTGGAGCCCAGAAGCCGTTCCGCACAATCGTCCGGATCCATTTGAAATATGCCCCGTTCAATTTCTGCAACGTGCGACTGGAAAGCAAAGGCCAATTACCGGCTCCATGAAGTAGGACTGGAATGATGAGCCCTTCAAATAATTTCAACCGCGTTGTGATGGTGATGTGTCGGTTGGTCAAAATCGATCGTCGGACTTGATGAAATGCATGAGTTGCTTTCGAGAGGCGATGGGCAACTTCAGCTTCAATGGCGCCTTCAGCAGTAAAAAGGGTTCCCAAATGTTCATATCTTGGAACACACCTCAAAACACCGCAAGGCAAAGATGCACACAAAACTCCTTGGCATTCCCCAAAGCATTCACGTCGTTGAGCAGGTGCAGTGTCTCCCCGAAAAGCAACCACTGCCTCTGTCTTGCCACGCTTCATGTTGAGACTCAAGCCAAATGATCTGCATACTTTCTCAACGAGATGCATCACGTCAGAGGTCACTGGCCTGACGTCATTGGCACTCTGGAATACCAGGGGAAGCGCCAAATCATCAATCCAGGCCACAATGGATGGGGAAAGGCCAAATTGCGCATGTGCTTTCTGCAAGGGCGGATGAGTATCAAGCGCCAGTTGCAAGTCAGAGATGACTGCTGTCATCAGAGCATTGTAGGCTGCATCGGCTAAAGGTGAACCTGGCCGACTTCCTCGATGAGTGTGATGAATTTCATCAGAGGATGCCAATGTGTACCACGTGTGAGTGTGTGCATCGCTCAATAATCTGACCAACACCGGCGACAAGTGGCCACTAAAACGATCACTTTGACACCGACGAGTCACAACCTCTGGGTCACACCCCGCCGCGTGCAAGACTTCCGCCAATCGAGGTGGTAAAGGAAGGTTGATGTCAAAAATGATCTCGCGAACCAGTGAATGAAAGGCACTTTTAATATCCAAAAATATCACACAAGAAGACATTCGTTGGGTGGATGCAAGTTGCTCAAATGCCCTCAAATAGTGGGTCGCGAAGGTCGTGGTCTGCTTGGCGAAGCCACCCAATTGAAGGGGTGCTCTAACACGTTGAAGTGCTGGAATCATTTGAGCTCGAAGAAGAGCATGGGACAATTTGCCTGTCACATCGAGCAAGGCGATGCCGCGCATGTCCTCTATGTGAGGGCTCTTGTGCTTCTTCCCAATTGTATGAATCAAACCACCCTTCCATTGCCACGGCTCAGCTCCAGTGGTCCAGATCTTCAAGAACAGCGCTGTAAGAGCTGGGGCCAAGGTAATGCCATGTTCTCGTACAAGACGTGGAGAAACTGTATCAAGTCCAGAGGCCTTGGCAACATTCTGTTTGGCACACAAATGTTCAACCGAAGCCCGGGTAGGAAGCTCTTGCAGCGGGATCTGTAGAGGCGCTTCAGACATGGCTTCAAACTGTGAAGTCCAACACTTCCTCAACAGCAAATCAAAAGGCACAAGTTCACCAGCTTCAAGTTGATTGTAGTGCGCCGCTTTCTCCGGGACCGTTGGTCCGGCGCACCTCAAATTTGACCGTTGCTTGGCCCTCCATTTTGGCAATGCAAAACGAATGGCTTGCCACAAATGCCTTGCACTCTTCTGTGACTCGCTCCCTGCATGCTGGGCTAACTCCTCGTAGAAGGCGCAGTCGTCTTGTCGGACTGCAGCAACCACACGGACCGCTAGGTCCTGAAAGGCACCGAGATGACGAGCTTCTTGAAGATCACATGCACGAAGCCATGGTCCAAAATCATCGTGAGGCGCCTGTTGCTCCTTCCAGCTGAGAAAGATCTGACGCAGCATCGCATGTCGTCGGTGTCGACGCAGACGAGCAAGGCTCTGCCGATGATAGCGTTTGGCCTGAATTAACTGAAATGTGTCAGAGGTCAGGTGTTGTTTCCTCTTGACAACTTGTGGATGTTGCCTTTGACTCAGCCAAGTTTGCAAGGCTGCAGCATGTGTGTGCACATCCGTGTTCCAGCTGGGAGGCACAAAGTCATCAGCTAGAGGACTGCGTTGTGTTCTCTGCGGCGGAGAGCTTGCATGAAAAACAACTGGGATTTGTGCACATACACAGGCATGATCTTCCCGTTGTAGGGAGAGGTCAATACGCTCCTCTACCCAGGTTTCAATGCCTGCGTCACCAAGTTCTTGTGGGCAAGCAATATAGTCGAGTCTTGCGGTGGTCCCAGTTGCGTGGGTCCAGGTGGCACTTGGTCCGATGTGGCAAGTGGATAGAGTCTGGGGAACAAATAAGGAGTGTTCCAACAACCACTGATGGAAGTGCTGCCCTTTGATGTTCTCCTCTTCGGATTGCCAATCACCAACAGCATCAGATTGCACCGAACCAAGTCTGCTGTTGGCATCCGCCAAAACGAATAAGCTCCAAGAACGGTATCGTTTTGGAATGGCGTGAGTGGTTGCTCTCCAAAAGGATTGTAAATGTTCTTCATCCTGATCAACTGGCGCATGTAGAACGACCAACAGGAGCCGCATCCCTTGACATTGGAAACGAACCACAAGTCTTTGGGCAGTCGCATGAAGAATGTGAAGATGATGAGTCTCAACTTGGAGAACGATGTCTTGGAACGCAATCTTGTGGTGAATCCAAAGTTGAACACCGCCAACGCCACGTTGGGTTGCTGGGGCCGAAAGCACATGATAGTGCGGTAGTCGAATGTGACCTTCTTGCCGACTTCGAGTCTCTTGCAAGCCAACAAAGTGAAAGCCACAATCATGAAATTGTTGATTCAGACTTTCCGCACGAGCACTCATGTATTGTGAAGCATAGCTCTGTCCTGGAAAGAGTGTCAGGACATTGGCCGTTGCAAATTGCAGCTTGATGAGCTTGGCATGCCGTGGTCCGTCTGGCTGAACATCTCGACGTCGAGAGATTGGCTGTTGCGTGACATCAGGCTGTGAACTAAGAGGTTGAGCAATGTTGAAGTGCCACTGCAAATCTTTCAAAGGTGGTGCCGTAACATCGCCACGGACTGATTGTTCCAAAAGCCATAGCCATTGTACCGGAGTAAAGTCTCGGTCATCAAATCCACATTGTTGTTGAAACATGGACATATCCGCAACTGTTGCTCCAGAAAGACGGGCATGATGACAAAGTGTGTCCGCTGCCTCGTTCCAGGGATGACCTGTATGGCCTCGCAGATGAGTCCAGGTGAAAGGAACTGAATTGAAAAGTTCAAGCCAGTGAAGAAGTGCACGCACTGGAACAAGCAGATCTGAGTTGTGTTGGCTTCCAAGCTGACCTTGTGCAACACCAGCAACTGTTTGACAATCAAACGCAAATTCAACCCATGTGCTGGAGAACCCTTGTTGGACTTGAAGCTGACAGCACCAACGTATAGCTAGCATCAGGGCGGTGGCTTCAGCACGAGGAGCAGTTGGCTCTCCAAGGCTTCCTGCTGTCACATAGCCGCCCCAACGGTCACCGTCAACTGTGGCAACAATCAAAACGGCTGCAGCCGTGGCCGTGGGCGACTGCCGACTGGCTGAACCGTCGGTGAAAAAGGTAAAGCCAAGTGGATGCTCATGAGTCCACGTCTTCAGTGACTGAAGCGCTTGGAGAGTAGCTGCGCGCCATGCCACATCACTCCACTCATAGGTGGGCTGAACCTGGGGCCATTCCAGCAACTGTCGCCGCAAGAAGAGAACCTTCGCACAGTCTACCTTGACCCAAACTGGATCAGCAGGTGGAGCTACCACATGTTCAAGCTGAACAATCCGCTTTGTAGTCAGCGTTTGCAGTGTGGAAGAGGTGTCTTCATCCTCTACCTCTGGCGCAGAAGCTATCCCAGGGCCTTCCGGCTGAATGGAGAAAAGCATAGTCGCTCCGTGGGGTATCGGTGTCACCCATGTTGGAGTAATCTCTTGATCGTGCCACCAAATTCGACATAATATACTTGGGATGCCATCACCACAACGACGATCAACATCAACCAATTCAAGAAGATCATGATGAAGATGGGTACGTGTCAGCATCAAGCAAAGGAGCCGTGGATGCCATGGATCTTCCTCTGGGTTGGAAACAGCCACCAAAGTTGAGACCATATGTGGTCGCGCGTTCTGCACCAGGACAATGTGCAACAGCACGTCAGGATCACCACCATTGGGTTGAGGGTTGGCAATGTAGCAAGCAAGATCATGAAAGGGATCAATGTGATCTTCCCATGCCATAACAATAGCTGTATACCAAGTGCGGAAGTCAGCTTCAAGACGAACCACGCGACCCAAACCGCTGTGTGGTCTGCGTTCATGATCACTGAACCACGTTTCAACAAAGATGGCATTCTCATGCACAAGGCCTGCTGGCTGCATACGCTGCAAGACAATCTGAAAAAGTTCAGTCACAAATGGTGGCTGTCTAGCTAACTGTGCTTGCAAGGGATCAGCTTGGAGAGCCTGAAACCGAGCTTCTTGTACACGTTCTGGTGTATCATCATCAAGTTTGTCCATGGGCTCATTGCACTTGGAAGAAATCCCAGTGGCCTGGACTAACTCAGCAGTCTCAGATGCTAACAAAGCATTGACTGGCTGTGGGAATGTGGTCAACACTCCAGTGTCAAATTGAATCATGGCTGTCATGTCGTCATGCAGTCCAAGGTCGAGTTCATCAACATCAGTCATGCCAACTTCATGATGTGGTTGACGACGAAGGTGAACTGCACGAGGTCGATTTCGATGTCGACGCTGGCGCGACATACTGACACAAGTTCGAGTGGATACCTTTGGTTCTGCTGTGGTCAATGGTGGAATAGCCACTCGTAGGTAATCACCATGTTCTAGGTGGAAGCTCCGATATTGTTGCACAGGTATCAACTTGTGATTCAGCCACATCAAACACTTGGTACGTTGGCGCTCACAATAAATGTCAAGACCCAGCAGGCGCATCAAAGTACGTCTCTGTGACAAGTGGGGCAACGACAAGCAGCGCCGTGATGTGGAAATGTCCGTGGCTGGCCAATGTTCATGAAACTCAATGTCAACCAAAACCAGCCGATGCACTGAGCCAATGGCTAGATCAGCTACCGACTGCATAAGAAGGACTTCAGTATGAGCTGCCTCTAGGTCTGATGGCCGATGTTCTACATGATGGCAGTAGGCAATGTCATCCTCTGCCACACCGGTGAGGTGCGAAACCCGACCTTGAAATTCGAAGGCATTGTCCCATGGTAAATGGCCATGATATACACGATGCCTCGTTCGATAAACATGCGTGAAGCGCCAGTCAACTCCAGAGTGTGATGCGTCATCTGGTGAGCTATCAGCCTCGGAAGCGTCATCCTGAAATGCTTCATGTTGTTGCACCGCTTGGGGAAGATCAAAGAGCGGCTGATCAGGAGGAAAATTTCCCCTAGTCCATGCTGCGAAGGAGGTTTCATCAAAATCCGGAGTGGGCACGCGGATGTCAATGTTGATACTCAATCCTTCGGCAATTTCTTCCAGTTCATGCTCGTCAAACCACAGAATGCCAGATCGTGCTACCCATCGTCTATCTTGAATGAGTTGATTGACGTGAAGCAAGTCGACCGCTCTACGTCCACACATCCAGCGAGGTGATGAAACAGCCTCTTGCAACAAGTGTACATGATGATCTTGAATGAATCTTACAGTCATGACAACTCCAATACGATCAGGTACAAGACCTTGTGTCAAGATGACATGTGGTGCAAAGGGTTGAGCATCGTCACGTGGAGGTAGCGGCTGTACATATGTGATGTGCAGGGCTTCTCCATCATGAATATGATCTGCCCATAACTCTCGTAGATCTGCAAGCCAAAGATGATCCATTCGATCCAACTCGAGAGATCTTGGCTGACGGCAGTGCGTCTCATCTTGATGGTGAAGATACCAGCTTACAACTGGCAATGTCCGCCCTTCACCTTGATGTGCTTCAGCCGCAAACTCGCGCCATGCAATACGCAACTGCAAAAGCCATGTCTGGTCCATGTCAAATCGAGCTAAATCGGATGGTTGATATGCAGCGGCTGCCTCTGGAGTGGTTGACGAGGCGTTCTGTTGGGCACAGAAACCTGCTGCATGTTCTGATTGAGAGGGAGCGCCAAAGACCACATCTGTGCGCATGCCTCCTGTCGGGATCAACACGGCCACGGGTGACAGCGGTTCCACGACAGAGATCAAAGGATCAGCATGAAGTGTCCAAGGCTTCTCTTCCCATTCTCGCAAGCTGTCTTGTGTCATGAAAATCGATGACAAAACTCCATCTTCGCTTCCATAGAGCAATTCAATCTGATTTGTAAACGTCACCTTTTTGGAAATAGAGTGAGATGCCGAACTTGAAGCGCGCAAATCAGTAAAAAGACCATTGGACCCTTCCAACAGTCGGGAACACTCCTTGAGGCCAAAGACATCAAGGCACTGATCAGCGGCACGTTCAATGGCAGCCCACGGGGTGGTGAAGTTCACTTCCTCTAAACCACTGTGTGTCCACTGAGCAGAGCAAACTGCTGTGGAGATCCCTTGGGGAAGGCAAGCCTCTTTGAAGTCTACTTGCCCCCCCCTCCAAAAGGCTGCAAACTGCGCGCACCAAAAGATGGTTTTTCGCCAGCAGTTTCGTTGCCTGCATCTATGCGTGCCTTCTTGGCGGCCGCTCCTTCCAGAGCCTCGTCCTGCCTGGCACGAATCTTGTCGAAACTCTGCACCATTGCACGCAGATCGTCCTGTATGCTGGGAGTCACATCTGCCATGAGCTCCTCGTCCGTCGGCTCGACGTTCTCGACAATGCTGATGTCTGACGCACTCACAGCTTCTTTGGACTTCTCCATGGTCTCTTGAGCACTCTGGTACTTCTCCAGTGCTTCCTGGATAGCACTCACGTGCTCTGCGTCTCGAGCTTCGAAATCTTCTGTGTGTTGATTCCACCGTTGGACAGCTTCTGCGATGAATTTGGCCCAAGAATTGTGCATGCTTTGCCGAGCTCTGCGTGCTTGAAGGAGATGATCTCGAGCATTGCGTAACTTGGCAGCCGCACTCTGTAGCTGAATGGTAGGATCGACCACCACTACCTTCTGAGCGTTTGCAAGAGCTCGCTGAACATCTGGTGTCAAGGGTTGATCCATCTGCTTGACGGCCGAAGCCAATTCTTTCAGCTGTTGTTCCACGGCATTGGAAGGCTGAGGATCTACTGTGTTGTCCCCCACGTCCTTCTGCTGGGCGTATTCCCACTCTGGTTCTGCTGGTGGATGAGCTCGAGCTGCATTCTTCTTCTTCTTGGTGTCCTTTGGAGCATGTGGGGTTCGAGCAGGAGATTTCCGTGGCAAACGCCTCGGAGATTTGCCTGAACTTCCTTGTCCGTCCCATGGGCTCTGATAATAACCTTCGCCGGCATCTTGTCCCCAAGGTCCTGCGTAAGTCCATTGTGAAGACCTCTGCCGACTCCTTGGTGACCGAGGCGACTTTGCTGATCTCGGTGTTTGGGCCTGGCATTCCGTCCAATGGGCTCCACAGAAGCCACAATTGGAGTAACTGCCCTTGATGTCTTTTTTGCACCACGTGCAGTGCCATGGTTGCGAACGATTCGCCATCTCGTGTTGGATCTTGGCAAGAAATGCAAGGTCTCGAGAATGGTGTCGCTGCAAAGTGCACCAAATCAGACGCAATTGCGAGACACTCAGATTCACCTGATTTGTTTTGTACAGGTACCACTGCCTGCGTGCCAATGCACGCTGTCTGCGCCAGCGCCTGCGCCACGTGGAGGTAGTCGTTCTGGAGGAGAAAGATCACCGCACAGAAGACCAAGAAAAAGTTCATGCAAGCCCGATCACACTGAGGATCTCAGAGACTGCACCAATCGCAGAGCACCAAGACAAAGTTCTTGTGGCCAGAACTGCAAAGGCGATACTGGAGGCCAACCCAGCAGAGCGCAGCAATGGAAGATCACACCAAGCGAGAGCTGTAGTGCAAACCGCCAGTGGCAAGGCAAGCAGCAATTGCTCGCCCGCGGGTAGGAAACCCGCTAAGGATTGGAATGGGCACTATTCTACCCTAAAGAGCCAAACCTTGGTGTGCCAAATGCCCGAAAAAAAAATCCACTTGTCATACTTTTGCTACTAAAATGCCACCTCAGAAATAAATATAAAATTAGCTGTTGACTAATATATTTGACCATGTAATTGTGATAATTTTGACTAATATATCTAATTGTGATAACCTGCTACTCAAAATTAAACATTTATATGTATTGTTGTTGTTCTTGGTCAATGGTCAAGAAGGGATCCATATGCAAAGTCTGAGCAGGTTTGAACGGATAATTTACTTTGCCGCCATGCGGATGATATGTGCACCTGCATGTTATAAATGAGACCATCATATAACATAGTAAAACGCCATCATCACTCCATCAGCCATCACGTCAAAAATGTATTTGCATACATCATTATTTATTTACACATACTACACACATATTTTATACATATTATATACCAATTTCATAAATTTCATATACATATAATACACATCTTACATACATATTGTTTACATTTTATTTTGACATTATATACATATTATATGCATGTGCGTTTTTAGTTATAAGCACGATTGAAACATGTACATCAATTGACTAAAATACACATGTATTAGTTGTACAAGTGACATATTAATATTTCATGGTGGTACCTATATATATATACAGACCGATCCATATACTACAATGTATGATGATAATACGTTAAAACAATATTGATACATAAAATAATATTACATATCTATCCATATCATCGTCATCATCATCATCATGATATAAAATGATGATATATCATCATCATATATCATCATCACCATAATTATCATATATCATCATATTCAAAAGCATTTTCTGTTCATATTCATAATCATAGATAAACAGACATATCTATACTTATCATATCTCTATATATATACATATATATTTATATATTTACACTGGTCGGTGGTTTGGAACATGTCTTTTATTTTCCATTCAGTTGGGAATGTCATCATCCCAACTGACGAACTCATATTTTTCAACCAGATATACACAGCATATCTCGAGCCATCGTCCATCGTCAGAGGCCACGGTGCCGGAGCAGAGCTTCCTACAGGAGCCGGGCGAATGGGTGAAAGCCCCCGAGAGCCGCCGCGCCATCGCGCACGTGGTCATCACCTTGGAGGATTTCACCAAGCAACACAGTGGCACCGTTACGAGGGGAGAAAGGGGAAAGGTTGGTTGGAGTCAGTTGGAATATCTATCTATCTACCTATCTATCTATCTGTCTATCTATCTGTCTGTCTATCTATCTATCTATCTGTCTGTCTATCTATCTATCTGTCTGTCTATCTGTCTGTCTATCTATCTATCTGTCTGTCTATCTTTCTGTCTGTCTATCTATCTATCTATCTAGCTATCTGTTTGTCTATCTATATGTCTGTCTGTCTATCTATCTATCTATCTATCTAGCTATCTATCTGTCTATCTATCTGTCTGTCTATCTATCTATCTATCTTGCTGTCTGTCTATCTGTCTGTCTATCTATCTATCTAGCTATCTGTCTGTCTATCTATCTGTCTGTCTATCTATCTATCTAGCTATCTGTCTGTCTATCTATCTGTCTGTCTGTCTATCTATCTATCTATCCATCCATCTATCTATCTAGCTATCCGCTATCTATCTATCTATCTATCTGTCTGTCTATCTATCTATCTATCTATCTAGCTATCCGCTATCTATCTATCTGTCTGTCTGTCTATCTAGCTATCTATCTAGCTAGCTATCCGCTATCTATCTATCTATCTATCTGTCTGTCTATCTTTCTGTCTGTCTATCTATCTATCCGCTATCTATCTATCTATCTGTCTATCTATCTATCTATCTATCTAGCTATCCGCTATCTATCTATCTATCTAGCTATCTATCTATCTATCTAGCTATCCGCTATCTATCTATCTATCTATCTGTCTATCTATCTATCTATCTATCTAGCTATCCGCTATCTATCTAGCTATACGCTATCTATCTATCTATCTATCTAGCTATCTAGCTATCTAGCTATCTAGCTATCTAGCTATCTAGCTATCTAGCTATCTAGCTATCTATCTATCTATCTAGCTATCTAGCTATCTAGCTATCTAGCTATCTAGCTATCTAGCTATCTATCTATCTAGCTATCTAGCTATCTAGCTATCTAGCTATCTAGCTATCTAGCTATCTAGCTATCTAGCTATCTAGCTATCTAGCTATCTAGCTATCTAGCTATCCGCTATCTATCTATCTATCTATTTATCTATCTATCTATCTATCTAGCTATCCGCTATCTATCTATCTATCTATCTATCTTGCTATCTATCTATCTATCTATCTAGCTATCCGCTATCTATCTATCTATCTGTCTGTCTATCTATCTGTCTGTCTATCTATCTATCCGCTATCTATCTATCTATCCATCCATCCATCTATCTATATAGATTCTTCGAAATACATCTTACGATGGGGTACCATTTTTTCAGAGAGTTCATTTCCAGATGTTTGTTTTGTATTAGAGGGGCGTGGGTCTTGATAAGGAAAGCATGCAGGAGGCAATTGATCTTAAGAAAGGAAACAGTGCCAGCACATATGTTCACATTTCCCTAGGGGCTCAGCATTGTTAAACATGTTGTGGCCTCCCAAGTATGAGTTGTTTTCGAGGATGTTTGTTCATTAGGTAGCACCATTCAAAACTTTAAGGTTTTGTTGTTTTTTATGTGTGTGTGACTGTGTGTGACATCATCCTATGAATCATCCGTCCTCCTCAACACTAGATACCACCCTAGAAACCCTGGTTAAATTTTGAATTTGTTCATTTGGGGCGCCCAAATGGGGGGGGGGTGTAGTATTATCGGGAATGGATTGCAGATTTTTGGTCAGAGACCCTTTGCGGAATGTTTGCGAAAATTGTTGGACCACAAAGAGCTCCAATTATAGTCTGACATTATCTTATGTATAGCATGTGGCATGGCCAAACTTGCGGCTTAAAATGCGAGATCTTGCTGCAAGTCCAAACATGCTGTAGTTTTCTGATGATACTGTCACATGTTGAACATTTCGCTCAAAAAAAACGCATGCACGTTTTGTGGGAGCTTGCTGTTGCCCAATCGCGCGTTTCCAAAGGTATGAATATCGAGTTCAGCCAGCGACTCGGATGAGTTTGTGACCGCCCCAGCCGACTCAAATCACATCGACTTTTTTTTCCTGAGGTGGAGCCGCAAATCTGGATTCACTAAATGAAGATTCACTAAATGAAGATTCTTGTGCTCCCATCAATTACAAACAAGTTGTTCAATTGCAAGTCTTGGCCATGCCATCCCCCAATAATATTGGAACATGTTCTGGTGGCTCTCTCCGCTTCCGCTGTCAATGGATCTATCCAGCCCCCAGCCAAGAGACATCCCAATAATCTTCAATAATCTATGAATGCAAACGCCATTGGGGGTGGTCAACTGGCTTTCGGGGCTGTTAATCCCATTAAACTGGGAACCTTATTAGTTTTTCTCTGATTAAAAAACCACGCTTTAGTTCAACCAGTTGTTATGTTTCTGACTTGGATGATGGACAAAATTACACGAGCCCCGGAGATTGAACAACCACAACTATGATTTTCTGTAGGTTTTCCCTTCAACAAAGCCATAAGTTTAGTGAATTTCAGTTGGGTCGTTGGGTCATGCGATTTATCCAGGTGATCTATCCATTGCTGTCGCTCTTTTCGCAGCTCTCTGGGGTAGCGGCCCTCTTCTGCTGGGCGTTCTTCAAAAGTCCTATTCTCAGCCGTAGCCCGGCGCAACTTGGGGATCACGCTGGATCCCTTGGGTAAGACAGCTATGGAACATGACCTATTTATAGATGATATATAGGTGATATATAGGTGACTTATAGGTGATTTTATAGATTATTTACAGTACCCATTCAAGATGGTTCTGTTAAGTTACAAGAAAATATATCCAATATATTCCTTCAAAGTACATGTTTCGTCCCTGCATTGGGTGACATGATGTATATATTTGATATTATTTGATCATCTTGCTTTGCGTGGGCCGCAGCAAAGGACGCAAGCGCACAAGTACCATTTGACATGTTTTTCTCTATCATCCCAAGCCCATAGCTTTGTAGATCAAGCCTTCAAATCTACACCATCGCTCGGCGCGCTGATCATCCGCCCTCCGGTAAACCTTGGTTGGGTGGGGTCATGGCTCACTTGTTAGGACAATGTGTTAAACGGGGAAACATGATTGCTCAACCATCTCAACCCCAAAAAATGGGGTGTGATGCAAATACAGGACTCATTTGTGCAGTGTCAGACATCATTTGGATCCCATGAAATCCCAATAAAATCCCCAGCCAAGTCGAAATCGCCATGGCTTGATCAGCCCCTGGCACCCTAAGGAAAGATCCTAGAGGTGGCTGAGGAGGAACCCAAATCAGAGCAGGGTCCCAAGACACGAAGTCCGCGAAGATCTGGCCAAAGAGCGACCAGATATGAAGGAAGCTCGGATGAAAACCACGGAGGGTAGAAGGTGCAACATGCAGTTCATAATGCAAATATGTGTATATTATATATCTATCTCTCTCTGTCTCTGTCTCTCTCTCTCTCTCTCTCTCTCTTTCTTAAAAAAGTGGAATAATGAGGGAATTTTCGGAAAAATACGCTAAAATGCAAATATCTTCGGAATCATTTATATTCTATCTACATCAGGACGATTGCAGATACATAGCGTGTAAATGTTGGGTCATTCTGTGTCGTACATATTCGTATATGAAACACATCATCTTCCTCCTCCTCCACATCATCATTCTCAGCATCATCCTCGTCCTCCCCCCTGACATCATCATCCTCAACATCGTCATCCTCCAGCAACATCCTCCTCCTCCACCTCCTCTTCCGCAACATTAATTATCATCCTTCTCATCCTCCTCCTCAACATGCTCATCCTCAACATCATTATCTTCCTCCTTCTCAACATCGTCATCCTCCACCTCATCATCCTCCACATCATCATCGTCCACCTCATCTTCCGCAACATCATCCTCCTCCACCTCATCTTGCTTGGATCTTTCGGACCTATCCACATCGTTTTCACCATTTGCTGTTTTTGATCTGACGTGGGGATACGTGGGGTGGGTTCTGGCTGGTATGGCAAAATGTAATTCCGGTATCTCGTCCGGTACCTTGTCCAAAAACCTTTCCAGAGTCATGATTCTGGTATTACATCCATATTCCATATGTTTCGGATTCCGTTACAGCAGGGCAGGGTGTGATTTCAATGTGATTAACTTCAAACTTTGTTTGTGAAAGTCATCCACTCGCCTGCAAGTGTGCCATTGGGGTTTTGGCTCTCATGAGAATGCAAACCCTTTATTCTGTCTCTTTTGGGCATACCAGAAGGCAAGCTGGTGATGCTGTTTCAGTGCTAGGCTAAGCTTTTGACCTGGAATTGCTTTTGGCGACGTGCCCTTGAGATTTGACTCCAAGTTGACAGGTCGCACCTTCCCATATTCTGATTCCTAGCATAGCCAAATGCAAGCTAGGAACATGATTCAAAGTTTGCAACGGCTTCGTGAAAGTCTTCCACTTTCCTGCAAGTGTGCCATTGGGATTTTAGCTTTTATGAGAATGGACACCCTTTATTTTGTTTCTTTTGGAGATACCAGAACCGCAAGCTGGCGATGCTGTTTCAATGCTTGGCAAAGCTTTTGACCTGGAATTGCTTTTGGCGGTGTGCCATTGGGATTTGACTCCGAGCTGACAGGTCGCACCTTCCCATATTCTGATTCCAAGCATAGCTAAATGCAACTAGGGACATGATTCAAAGTTTGCAACGACTTCGTGAAAGTCTTCCACTCTCCTGCAGGTGTGCCATTGGGATTTTAGCTTTTATGAGAATGCACAACCTTTATTCTGTTTCTTTTGCTTTTGGCGGTGTGCCATTGGGATTTGACTCCAAGTTGACAGGTCGCACCTTCCCATATTCTGATTCCTAGCATAGCTAAATGCAACTGGGGACATGATTCAAAGTTTGCAACGACTTCGTGAAAGTCTTCCACTCTCCTGCAAGTGTGCCATTGGGATTTTAGCTTTTATGAGAATGGACACCCTTTATTTTGTATCTTTTGGAAATACCAGAACGCAAGCTGGCGATTCTGTTACAATGCTTGGCTAGGCTTTTGACCTGGAATTGCTTTTGGCGGTGTGCCATTGGGATTTGACTCCGAGTTGACAGGTCGCACCTTCCCATTTTCTGATTCCTACTAGTAGCATGGCTAAATGCAACTGGGGACATGATTCAAAGTTTGCAACGACTTCGTGAAAGTCTTCCACTCTCCTGCAAGTGTGCCATTGGGATTTTAGCTTTTATGAGAATGGACACCCTTTATTTTGTATCGTTTGGAGATACCAGAACGCAAGCTGGCGATGCTGTTTCAATGCTTGGCTAAGCTTTTTGCCTGGAATGGCTTTTGGCGGTGTGCCATTGGGATTTGACTCCAAGTTGACAGGTCGCACCTTCTCATATTCTGATTCCTAGCATAGCTAAATGCAAGCTAGGGACATGATTCAAAAGTTTGCAACGACTTCAAAACATGATGCATCTGAGCCGATGTTCCTTGGGGATTTGAAACCTGGGGTAACTATTGTCTGCCCTTGGGTAACTCGGTGTGCCTTGCGGATGGGGTAGCTACTAGGTGGATGGGGCAAGTAAGGGCGTCCGCTTGTAGTTAATAATAACAATGATAATGATTTGTAATACTTATATAACTACAGGGCACGATGGGGGGCATCTGACTTTTACATGATTCCAGTTCAGATTCTGAAATTCAGATTCTGAAGTGGGTTTTAGGGCAGCATCGTGGAAAATGGGAGCTTTTGACTTTTGACGCCACACAAAATATGGCTTCCCAATGATTGGCCTCCCCTTTCTCAATCCTCCGTGCTTTGAATGGCACTGGCCATCAGTGGCCCAACAAGTCTTCTCATTCCATTTCTTGCTTTGGCAGAGAAAAGGAAGACTAAGACTCATCCTCTGAAATTGATGGCTTCGTGAAAATCGCGCCAAAAGCTGTCTTTTGGTATTTTTTCTGACTTGCGTCATCTTGCGTCATAAGAAGCAAACATGTGTGTGTGAGCAGTGTAAATGCAACATGATCCAACTAGTGTAGTATATCGTCACAATCTGCCACAAAATCAATACCTCTCGTGTGACAATTTTTAGTGAGGTGAATATAGCAGCATTGCAGATGCAGATGAAGAAGAACAACAATCCTTGCTGGAAGTTGGGGGCGGAGGTCGTGGTGCTTCACTCTTGGATGGCACTGAGGGGGAGGGTCTTTGAAGTTCTCTGCGGGATGCTGCAAAAAGGTTGTCTTTTTGGGAACGCGGAGGGATGCCTGGAGCAGTGATGACGACAATTATGGTAGTTTTTGGATGTTTTATTTCTGGCAAGTTTGGATGTGTTGAAAGAAAATGAAAGATATGCGATTTGAACACGAAGGTCTTACTTGACTACAATTTCGGATAATTAACTTGATGACCCCTTGGGTGTGGGTATTGTTTTTTGATCCATCATTTTGCGTAGAAGGGGGAAGTTCAAATTGAGTTGCTTGATATGGAGTGCCATCCGAACATATTTGTTTTACCTAGTCTCCAAACATGAATTACTGTAGATGAATCTAGCTGAAATAGGGCACCGAATTCCACAGGGAAAAACTCATCACTAGCCACTACTGGAATGGTCACTGGGCAGCAGCTCCATCACCATCTCATCATATCTTGGTTATGATTATAGATCCCACTATATGTACAAAGTGGGGCCCCCAAGCGATTGCCAAGTTGGTTTACAACTCCAATAGCTATTGTTTATGATACGCAAATAAC